CGCCCGACGTCAAGAAGATGAACGATGTAAGAGCTGTCTGCCCCTCGTCCTCTCACCTTCCTCCTCCTAGTGCTCCTACTCTCGAACCTCATCGATTCCCACTCTGCCCTCACGCCTTATATAGACGTCCGGTCTGGCACGAACTGCTTTCGCCGGTCGCTCTCGCCTCTTCGCCGTTCTACTCGACCTATGCACACTATGACAATACGGATGATTGAGCAGAGAACCCATTGTGGCGAGCGCAATCGACAAACATGTCACCCGGAACACATGAAGGCAACGGCTGTCGGGATTTTGAGGTCATCATTTGAGCTCATAGAAAACAATCTGACCAGTCTGTTTAGATCCGACTTCGACGGCTCGCCAAGCTTGGCTCCTCGACAAGATCCCCCAAGCCGGAAGGAGAATCGTCAGCAGACGCCGAGACATCAAACTCCGCAACGAGCGAAGTCAAGGCTCCCAAGGCCCCGGCCAGCCCAACACCCTCATTTACACCGAAGCCTGCCGCCTCGAATCCCTTCAACCAGCTTGGTGTCAAGTCCGGTAGTGGTACATCTTCGCCAGCTGGATCGAACAACACCGAGAACCACAAGCGAATTGCTTCCGACCGCGCAGCTGCATCTGCTCCCGCAAAAAAGGCAAATGTGGAGGAGTCATTGGATGATTTTTCAGATCGAATCCTCAGCCATATTTTCCGGATCACAGTCGACCCAGAGAGAGTTGTCGATACCCACGGACACAAGCTTACCTTCCTGCCGGAAGCTAGCCAAGAGCTCCAAGAGAACGGATCGCCGCTTAAATTGACAACCTCCATCCTCGATAGTGCCTTGCTTGAGGCCGTCACTGCGATTCCCGCCGACAAGCCCCTTCTCGGCTACCTACTTCCCTCATTCAAACGCATCATCCGTACAAACATACTCAAAGAGACGGCAGAGAAGAGGGAGGCTCTGGAGGAGGCAAAGAGACTGTGTGTTAGCAACGCTTTGTTTGCGCTCACAATCCCGGATCTCTTTGGGTAAGTAGACCCATTCTGAGCATTCCAATCGCTTACAGGTGGTACTAGACGATCACGCCCCGAGAGTTTGGTCACCTACCTGCTCAAAGGACATGAGCAGGACGATGGAGTCTGCTTGGACTTCTTGCGGGAGGCAGTAAAGCGCTTTCCCGAGGATGAGCAATTCCCAGCTGCTTTTGCCACAGCCATGCACACACTCAGTATTAAGTTGTCGACTTTGTCCATGGAAGATGACTACAAGCCGTATATCAGCGTGAGTTTTTCTTGGCGACGCCAGTTTGCCTATCTCTCAGCCATTGAACTGACACTTGGATAGGCCTTGATGTCCTACACAAAGTTCCCTCCTCTGCTAAATGCACTGGCACAACATCCCAACTTCATGACCGCTCACAAGCTGGGATCCCATGTTGAAAAGGAGACGATCCTGGGACCCTTCTTCCGCATCTCTCCCTTGCAAACCGAGGTGACAATGACATACTTCCCGAACCCACGGGCCCTGAACCGCACCCAGGCTGCCCCATCCCAAGATGCTCTGCGGGCTATTCTTCGAGTTCATCAGGATGAGCTCTTCACGATCGCTAATGCCTTTATCCGAGCTGACACTGACACCCGGAGTCGGGTACTCGATTGGTTCGCCTCCGCTATCAACGGCAATCACAAGCGTAGAGCTCTCCAGGTTGACCCCAAAGAGGTGTCCTCAGATGGCTTCATGATGAACCTCACTGTCGTATTGGACCGATTCTGCTCTCCCTTCATGGACACAACGTTCTCAAAGGTCGACAGGATCGAAGTGGAGTATTTCCGCCGCAACCCCCGTGTGGACATCAAGGAAGAGACCAAGCTCAATGCCGACCAATCGACGTCAGATGCATTCTACGGCACTCAATCTCAGGGCAGCTCAAACTTCATTTCAGAGGTTTTTTTCTTGACTTTGGCTGCGCACCACTACGGCAGTGAGGCAACAAACTCGAAGCTCAAGGGTCTCGAAAGGGATATCAAGTGGTACGAAAAGCATTTGGCTGCCATGGAAGCTGAGCGGATTAAAGTCCAGAACCAGCCTCAGCAGCTTGCAATGTTTGAGTTGACACTCAAGCGCCACACTGCGGTCTTAGAGAAGGCAATCGCAATGAAGTACGCGATCGAGGGTATCTTCCTTGACGAGAAGATGCAAGAACTGTCTCTTCGCTTCATGCGATACGTGGCCGTGTGGCTTCTTCGCCTTGCTAGCCAGTCCAGCTACACCCCCGACAAGGATCTTCAACTTCCCCTTCCTGCTCAGGCCCCTGAGGCTTTTGCGTGCCTGCCAGAGTATGCGCTCCAGGACGTGGTTGACAACTTCAAGTTTGTGTACCGCTACCTTCCTCAAATCATGCCGTCTGCTGTTGGCAGCGAGATGATTGCGCTCTGCATCGCCTTCTTGCGTTCGTCAGAGTACATCAAGAACCCGTACCTCAAGTCGTCCTTGGTCACATTGCTCTTCTCCGGCACCTGGCCATTCTCGCACTTTAAGAAGGGTGTCTTGGGAGATCAGCTCTACGGATCCAAGTTTGCCAACGATAACCTGTTGCATGCCCTCATGAAATTCTACATCGAAGCGGAGTCGACTGGTGTTAACACCCAGTTCTACGACAAGTTCAACATCAGATACGAGATCTTCCAGGTTATCAAGTGCGTTTGGGGCAATGATGTGTACAAGCAGCAGTTGACGAGAGAGAGCAAGTAAGTTTTGTCTGTTTCAGCTTCTAGCCAGGGTGCGGTATGGGTGACTAACAACTCGCAGGGTTAACAGACAATTCTTTGTACAATTCGTCAACTTGCTGCTCAATGACGCGACCTATGTGCTTGACGAGGCACTGACAAAGTTCCCCAAGATCCATACGTTACAACAGGAGTTGGAGTTTGGCAACACGCTATCCACGCAAGATAGAGAGAAGAAGCAAGAGGAGTTGACAGCATTGGAGGGCCAGGCGGGCTCATACATGCAATTGGCCAATGAGACGCTAGCGATGATGAAGCTCTTTACATCTGCATTGACATCAGCATTTACAATGCCTGAAATTGTCCAGCGTCTGGCAAGCATGCTTAACTACAACCTGGAGACTCTTGCGGGACCCAAGATGGGTCAGCTCAAGGTAAACAATCCAACCAAATATCACTTCCAGCCAAGGGTTCTGCTGTCAGACTTCATCGACATCTACCTCAACTTGGGCTCATCGCAAGCGTTCATCGACGCTGTTGCCTCGGATGGTCGCTCGTATAAGCCCGAGGTCTTTGACAAGGCTAGATTCATCCTCTCAAAGCGCAGTATGAAGGAGGCCGTTGAACTCGAGCAGCTCGACACGTTGATGGCCAAGTTCCTCGAGTCGAAGCAGATTGCGGACCAGGCCGAGCTGGATCTTGGAGACATCCCGGCCGAATTCGAAGACCCGATTATGGGAGATTTGATGAAGGATCCCGTTATCCTGCCATCGAAGCATATTGTTGATCGGGGAACTATTGTGCAGCACTTGCTGTCGGATCCCAAGGATCCCTTTACGCGACAGCCGATGACGGTGGATGATGCCATCCCGCACACTGAGCTGAAGGAGAAGATTCAGAAGTGGAGGGAGGAGAAGATTGCGGCGGCCAAGGCCAGGGCAACGGGCGGCGATGCGATGGATACAACGGAAGGCTGATGAACGGGACACGGCACCATGATCAGGACTGGAAGGCAAAGGGGCATTGGCATTCTCGTTGATTAGACGTTCAGGTCCTCCTCTCCAAGGACGGGGACACAGACAGGCACAGGCAGATGGTAGGCCTGGGATAGACGCATAGCACGTCTCTGGAAAGCTAACGCTGAGAATGAAAGCGTCTGATGCTGCGGGTAGCATAGGCTTAGATACAGCGAGACATCAGGTATATGTGACAGCGAAACCAAATCAGCTCTCGAATCAGGCAGAATCCTGCGGCCCAAAGTGATGTTCAACATGCAACCGAGACTGCAGATGAAAAGCCCAGACACCTTAGGCCAACCCGGCGTTACCGGAAGTTGAAGACGAAGCAGTTTTCAGTAAAGTGAGCAAACAGGAAGCTGGGGAATTCGAGGGTGAGATGAGCGAACGGAGCAATTGAAGCCGTGGAGGGCCCGGGCCGAAAGGTCAATTTTGGGTCAACATGAGATTCAGGACTTGCTTCACCAGGCATGAGGGTACTACGAAGAAGTTAAAGAGAGGCGAGAATGATGCGTTGTACAGGTTGCTGTATTGGGGTACGTTTGCTGACCGTGTTCGGGGTGTCCTTCACCGAGATTACGAGAGGCGAAGTTTTGGAGTAAGGTAGCAAGCAGCTGGGTAAATCGTGAAGAGAAATTGAGGGATTACGGATTGCGGATGTGGGCAAAAACAAAAGTCGAACCACTCGTGCCGCTGTCGGATGGCGGCTGTCGTGTCCGGGATGGGTGAAGCTCAGCCACAGGGGAAATCGGGAGACGTGGGAGGGTGAGGCGGTGATGATGATCCATGGTCCGTGGGGGTGTTGTTCTTTAGTGGATACGGGGAATTTCTTCATTCGGACTATCAATCAGCAGGTCATGTTCGGTCTGGAACTTTTTTTTTTTGGGTGATGGCTGCTTGGCGGTTCGGGGTTTTAGGTGACCGGGTTTCTTGGGCGAGGAAATGAAATGGCATGTTGTCTTTCTCCCCGATGCTGATATTGTCTGTTCTTGGGGGAAATTTGGCTGAGGTGATTCGGGGATGAACAGGCGGTCATGATGTCATTGGGCAACGGAGGGTGAAAACTCGGGCGCTGTTGATATTCCCCGTCTGGCTTACTCCGTGCTGAGGCGTTTGTTTACCCGTTTCATCCTTGACCTTCTCTATGTTTTCGCGTAGCTATGCTCCATTCTCCTATTCGTTTCTTACTCCGGTACTGTATCGATTTGTTTTACGTGAAGGTTCAGCAAAAGGAATAGACTGCCGTGACGCCGTCGGGGTCCAGGGCTGTGTTACGGTGCTAGGCATTGATATCCGAGCCGATTTACCCAGTGCCCACCAATCCCCCGGTTTTCAACATCTCCAATCACTGCCGTGAAACAAACAACGCATGAGTGAGCTGAAAGACCATCGACGGGATCTCGTCGATGAAGCGGATGCCAGTGGAGAGTGAGAGAATTGTAGCGGGCAATGGATGGATGTGCTTCAAGGTTCAGGTTCGTTTGGGCTCTGGACTTCTGGATGGAGACCAGGGAGGGACCGCCCGCTGTGGCGGGAAGAACGGCACGGCTGACGATTGGGCGAAACGTGGGGCGCGCGAGGTCCGCTGGACCACTGGACCGCTGGTGAGTGTTCCTTGCTGGCTCAGAGCTGGTGTGGGCCACCCGAAATGTCACCCGTGCCAAGCTTTGGGCGTAGCGTCGTTTTTGGGACTTGGGGATCCTTGGACACGCATGTGTGTGTGTGTCTGCTGTGACGCCTCGAGAGCCGAGACATGGGGAAAGGTGTTGTATGTAGACTGTTGAATAGGAAGGATGAGAGACGTGGAAGAGCGATAGAGTGAATAGGAGTAAACGGAGATGAAGGGAGGCCGCCCTCGTACATACCTTACCTCGATTTAGAGACATCGGGCGCAGCTTCATATGGAAAACGCGTGCTTTTGGCAACAGAATGTCGCGGCAACATCCCAGAGTCATCCCGTTTCTGTTGGTACTATAAGGTATTAGAACCTCAACTTCTTTTCTTGGCGGGTGCTGATTTGCGGATATTGTTCTCCTGCGCCCCTTTTTGCCCGAGTCTTTTTCACTTTGCTCGGGGATTTCCCTGGATGGCTCCGGGGGAACAAGGTGACGGCACATCGTCCCATCCTATCCGTACCTTACAACTAGGCAGATTCTTCACCGATCAGGGGGGAGGCCAGCGGTTAGACGTGTCTCGACTAAGCAGACTTGCAACTCTCTGTCGACACTGTAAGTACGGAGTACGCTACGCATGCGAGGTGAGGCACTGGAGGCGGCATGTACCGGGTTTACTCTCGAGTACCTGCCAAGGACTCTGTCAATGATGTAGCTGCACCTTATGTAAGGCAGTACGTACCGTTCTACACCGTCTTGTGCCCCCCGCCATCCGTGCCGGCTTCAGGGCACCCCAAGTCGCGCGTCACGGTGTCACCCCACTTGCATCTGCCATTGGCCTTGGCCCTCTCTCTTTCGGTCTCTCTTCCCAGAGCTCCCACTCCACGTCTCCATATCCGGTTCTCTCGGCCTTTCTCCCTCAACGATCCATTGGGCTGGGTGAAGTGGACGGAATGGGCCATGGGATTGGTGAGGATGGAGCTTTGACTGTAGCTGTCAAGTCTCTTTGACATGGTCCCAGCTCTGCCGTCCACCCCGCCAGGAATGTACTCCAGAAGGTACCTTAATGTAAGTTCAAGCTGCTTAGCTACCTTCATTTAGCACCCAATTGTACCTAAGGTAGATAGGTAGGTAGCTAAATTCGGGTAGCTTCCTTGGTCCCGGTTCCAGTTCCAGTTCCAGCTCCTTGCCTTAGACTTGGAGGTGTAGCTGCAGATGCAAGCGCAGTGCCACGGCCGCCCTCCCAGCTCCGCTTGTTGCTTCCATGGCTTGGCCCTGTGAATGCCCCTCCTCCTCCTGTTCTCTTTCTTCTCCTTCTTCCCCCTCGCTCCCACTCCCAGATTCTCCCATTCTGCTTCTCTCCAACCTGTCCATTCGCCTCGGCCCAGTCTCTAGGTCCAGCTCCAGCTCCAGCTTCGGCTCCAGTAAAAGGTCAACGGTCTCGACTTCATATAAACATCCTCCTCCGTCCGCTTCCCACCACGCCCAAAGCTCCCTTTCTCTTCTCGCACCACAGTTTTCTCACTCCAACACCCTCCGCTACTTCTTCACTTGAAAATGGTTCACCTCACAACCGTCAACACGCCCCCAGACTCTGGCTCTGCCTCCGGCGCCGAGGACTCGTCCGCCACCAGCCTCCGCCAGGTCCAGCAGCAGCTCAAGAAAGTCCAGCTCCAGCTCGCCGACCACGATGACTGCTACACCACGAGCGTCTATGGCTCTCGCTTCGCCAACCAGGATCTTCCCAAGAGCGAGATGCCCGAGAGCGAGATGCCCAAGGAGGTCGCCTACCGCATGATCAAAGACGAGCTCAGTCTCGACGGTAACCCCATGCTCAAGTAGGCCTCTCCTTTCGTCATATGCGGGAATCTCTTGTCATTTCTGGCCATCGTTAACCCCCATCTTCATAGCCTGGCTTCCTTTGTGACAACTTACATGGTGAGTGAATACTTGACGAATCCAATAACCGTAGTGACATTCCGAGCTAACACCCCACCCCAGGAAGAAGAAGCCGAGAAGCTCATGGTAAATAAATCCTCACCAATACCTTCTCCCTCATTATGCACCGCATACACGAACCCAGATCCCGAAATCTAACAATGGTATTCCCACGAACAGGCCGAGAGCTTCAGCAAGAACTTCATCGACTACGAAGAATACCCCGCCTCAGCAGACATCCAGAACCGCTGCGTCTCCATGATTGGCAAGCTCTTCCACGCCGACGTTGGCGCGGGCGAAGGCGTAGGCGCCGTTGGCACCTCATGCGTCGGCTCCTCTGAGGCCATCATGCTCGCCGTCCTCGCCATGAAGAAGCGCTGGAAGAACAAGCGCCAGGCCGAGGGCAAGTCCACTGAGCACCCCAACATTGTCATGTCCTCCGCCGTCCAGGTCTGCTGGGAAAAGGCCGCCCGCTACTTCGAGGTCGAGGAGAAGCTCGTCTACTGCGCGCCTGACCGCTACGTCATTGATCCCAAGGAGACGGTCGACCTTATTGACGAGAATACCATTGGTATCTGCGCCATCCTGGGTACCACCTACACGGGCGAGTACGAAGACGTCAAGGCTGTCAATGACTTGCTGATCGAGAAGAACCTCGATGTGCCTATCCACGTTGATGCTGCCAGCGGAGGTTTCGTCGCTCCCTTTGTCGTTCCTGATCTTGAGTGGGATTTCCGTCTCAAGAATGTCGTCTCCATCAATGTCTCCGGTCACAAGGTAATTTTCCTCTCTCGTGCTTTAATTACCGAGTATCAAACTTCTTGGTTCACTCACTTACACACAAACTACAGTACGGCCTCGTCTATCCCGGTGTGGGCTGGGTTGTCTGGCGCTCTGCCGAGTTTCTCCCCCAGGAACTCGTCTTCAACATCAACTACCTCGGCGCAGACCAGGCCTCCTTCACCCTCAACTTCTCAAAGGGCGCCTCACAGGTTATTGGTCAATACTACCAGCTCATTCGTCTAGGCAAGAAGGGCTACCGCGCCATCATGTCAAACCTCACCCGCACCGCAGACTACCTCTCCCAGTCCCTCGAGGTTCTCGGCTTCCGTATCATGTCCAAGCGCTCCGGCGAGGGTCTCCCCCTTGTCGCCTTCCGCCTTCCCGAAGTCCCCGCCGGCGCCGAGGGTGAGCCGGGCGTCCGCCACTACGACGAGTTTGCGCTCGCCCACCAGCTACGTGTCCGTGGCTGGGTCGTGCCCGCCTACACCATGGCGCCCAAGACCGACGATCTCAAGATGCTTCGCGTCGTCGTCCGTGAGGACTTTTCCAAGTCGCGCTGTGACGCCCTCATCACCGATATCAAGCTCTGCATGGGCCTGCTCGAGCAGATGGACCAGGACGGTGTCAAGAGGCAACAGGAGTACATCAACAAGCACCACCTCACCAGCTCGAAGTCAACCCACAACCATCCAAAGTTCAGAGTTTGTCCCCAAAACCCCCGGGTCCCGCGCGAACCCACCCAGGATGAGATTTCACTAACCATGCCGTGTCTGAACAGAAGGAAAAGCATTCCCTACAGGGTAAGACTGGCAAAACGCATGCCATCTGCTAAGTCCTTCCGCGGTTGTTGTCATAAAGACGCAAACTACTTACGGCACGAAATAAACGATTGACACGACGCATACGATGGCTTCACTGGTGCGGTGGCGGCAGGGGCAACTACGACGGCTTCAAAGCCAAACAAGGTTTGGGTAACGTAGGCTGGCGGTTGGGGATATATACTACACGAGAGGAAAGGAACGGTATTACTTTTTCTCGCACTTGTATTTTGCACAAGAGGTTTGTAGAGGAGAAAAGAATACACCAGTCATTGGATCTACTTGGGATGGTCATCAACTGAACGACCATATCTCTGTGACCTACTAACCTCAGGGCAAGTCAAACTTCAACTTCATCCGGTTCTCCTGCACCGTCTTCTCCAACTCCCCACCGTCATCAGCATAATGTGCCAAATTCAGCGCCAAATCCGCCCACGTATTGCACTCGTCGTCTTGTCGGACATTGTACGCGTCCACTGCCTGGTTAAAGCCCACGGTGACGAGCCACTCAAGCTCTTCGGCCGGGAACGGATGCTGGCTCTATCAAGTGCAATCGCTCTTAGTGTTTTTGCCTAAAAAAACATGCCGAACAACAGCGAAGAGGGGGGAGGGGGGAGGGGGAGGAGGGTCGAGCAGCGGAGGAAATGCAAACGCACCTTGCGAGAATCTCTCGCCACGTCGACGGCCTGCTTCATCAGCCTCTGCCCCAGCGCCGCATCGAGTGGTAATACGGCGTGGAACATGCACCGGATGTACTTTGCTAGCCTGTCGCCCTTCATCTTCTCGAGCTCCTAGATCTCGTTGACGATGACGCCTAGTGTGGAATAGAGAGCTGCGAGCAGTGGAAACACGGCATGGTAAGCAACGGTCTCCTCGTAGCCACCTATGATGGAAGACAATCCGTGGTGGGTTAGGCTGCTTACCTTGTCCAGGCAATTTGCCTCGCAGCGCAATATCACCCATCGCCTTGAGCGTATTCACGTCCCGACACGTCACCGCCGTACGGATGATGAACCCCAGCTCATCAGTCTTCTTCAATGCCATGGCAGCCTCAAAATCAAACACCATTAAAGTTGCCAGCCTGGCCGTTAGATCGCTCTTCAGCCTCGTAGCCAGACCATCGCTCATCTGCTTCTCCAGAGCTGCATTGTACGCCACGACATGCCTCCGCATGACGAGATAATGCTGGAGCTGCTGCTCGACGTTGTCTTCCGTCCGGGCGAGCGATACGAGAGCAGCGGCCGCGATGAAGTCGCAAAACATTGTCCTGAACGCGAGGTCACTCGCAGCTTCAGCAGGGAGATCCTCTGGATAATGCTTCGCGATAGCGAGGCAGCTGTTGTAAAGTCGGATAAGATGCTTTACGTCCCAGCTGTCCGAGTGTTTGAGGCCGAGGTTATACGCGTTCTGGCAGAACCAGTCGAGTTCCTTGACGGTGAACAGCCGGTTACCATCCTTGTCCCTGAGACCTCGCTTGATTGCCTCGATAGCTAAAAGACGACATGATCAGTCTGTGATGGACTCTGATGAATGATGCACTCTCACCTCCTTCAAAAAGCACAAGCACTTCCTCCACTGTACTCTGCCGCTCCCTAGCCCCCTTTTCGCTCTCAGCAATCGAGACAGCGAGTCGGATGTTACACCGCAACAGCGCTGGCAAATGAATCGGAGACGTCTCGCTGAACTCGAACTTCTCCACCAGCTGCTTCATGGCCTGCATCGCGCAGACCTTATCCCCAGCCTGTTGCGCCTCGAGGACGCAAGCATAAAGAAAATTAGGGTCCTCTGGTGCTGAGAGAGCTACTCTTTCCAGACACTGAGCAGCCAATTCTTGGTCGGATGAGCGGAGGGCAGCCTTGTACATGAGGTACCTCGTCATCGGTTCGTTTTGCGCTGTCTCGGACATGCCCTGAAAGACTTGCCGCGCCCTCTCGGCGTTGTTTCTTCCAAGGGCACAGAGAATGAGCTTTCTACGGTCGTCAGTGTACGTAGCTTGAGACTCCTGCGAAGATACACACCTGCCAAGTCTCGACATATTCGCAGGTCCGCCATTTTGGAACAGAGGCTGCAGGGCTATTTGGCACCATCCATCTGCGAAGTCGAAATGTCCCTGGTTGTAGTTGACTTCGATCTTTTTCCAAATAAGCTACACCAATATTAGCATTTCTTCCTTTCCATCTTCCTTGGATCAAGCTCACAGTCAAAGCTCCGACTGCCGTAGAAGCCCCGAAAGGCTTGCTCAGGTTATCTTGGACGCCTACCAGAACCCCCATCAGCTCTTCTATGGCCCTCATACCATCTCTCTGCGTCGTCTCCATCCATATCCTCAACAATACCAGTCTCTCGACCCACTCTTCGCGTCCAGAAGAGACAATAGTGCCCCTAAGCATCCCATCCACGACGCTCGTCGCCAACGTCGGGCTCTTATCGTGCAACTTTCGTGCGTGATGAACCAAGAGCTTAAAGTGCGCCTCGGAGAAGTTGAAAGAACGCACCATCCGCCTCAGAATATCAGCATAGGCCTCAATGTCAAATATCTCGGCCGGCGCCTTCTGTAAGAGCTCCAAGCGAAGGAGGAGGACAACGGGCTTCTCGCCAATCTCGGACTCGATGTAGCTGACTAGGTCAAGCGCCTTTTCCGAGGACTCTGGCGTGCCGAGGCCCAGAAGCGCGTGAATCAGGGCTTGACAGACGGAGAGGCGCAGCTCGATAGCGTCGCGGGAGAGAAGCGACAGGTCCTGGGCGTTGATGATGTCGTACCCCCGTTCGAGCCACCTTACCGCCATGCCGAAATCTTCCTTCTTGGAGAGGTCTTTGCCTATCTCGAATAAAATCTCTGTCATTTTCTCGGCCGAAGTAGGATCGAGCGCATTCGGCTGGAGGTGTCCCTTGCTGTACATGAACTCCATGACGGGAAAATTATCCGTTTTCCAGGCCTATCTTCCACGGTCAGCTATAGGAGCGGCCGCATCATCAAACTCAAGAGCGAACTTGCCAGTGCTGCTCGGAGTATGAAGTATTCAGCGTTTAGCTTTTTGCATTCTTTCAAATCATCCGGTCCCAACATTTTGGCCTGTAGCTGACTTAATGTCGCGCTGTATCCCGCCCCCTTCTCGAACACAGTCTCGGCGAGCTTCAGAGCACTCGAGCTGGTACCGCCTTCATCTATACACCATGTAAGTAGCTTCCTCTCCGTCCCAAGAATTCCCGCTAAGCTCCCGACTTACCGAGACACGTCTTCCCCGCCTTGAGCGCCAACTTCATCACATGCACCACATCCGCAAGTTGCGGCTCAGCACCGCTCGGAACACCCCTCGCGATGCTAATCATAAAGAAAGCAAACGTCCTACTCCGCAACAAAAGCTTCTTCCTCGCAGCCGGTGCTGCCGCCGTCCCGTCTACATTATCACGACGTTGTCGGGTACACAGATTCCAAAGCTCCGTCCCCCTCCTGTCAAGTTCCGCCCTCTGGGATTTCGCTCTTGGACTACCAGAGAAACGGATAATCGTCTCGAGCTGGGGGTTGAGCTCCACGAGCAGGGCGTCGATGGAGAAGGTATCGTTTGCGGAGGGGAGGCGCGTCGAGAGGGCCTGAGAGAATGCTTTCAGACTACAGGTCAGCTTGCAGACCACGAAAGCTTCATCTGCGGGATGCTACGGACTTGCGAAGGAGTTGATCTTGTCAACGCTGCTGTTGCTTTTGGGCGACTTTGCGCACCGTTGAGGGGGCATTGTGCTTGGCGAGGGCAGACCTGGGAGGTCGAGATCATGTGAACCAGGTGTTCACTTCGTGGAGAGCAAGTTGAGAGCGAATATTGGGCGTCGGGTGCATGACAATGAAAGCATTTCACTTCCTTCAGGAAATAGCGAAGAGGTTGAAATAGACCGAGAGGTGATACGATGCGAAAGTGGCAAGTGCCAAGTCATTCGCGACAGGCATAAATCTCGTATGCGCCTTCCTCGAAAGCACCTGTATCCGGACACGGGGTTACTCCCCCTAGACAAGCTTCTGACCCGGATCGGAAAGAACAGGACCTGAAGGGCATGATGGGAAGCGATTACTTGAGGCTTCAAACAAGAAAATAAGGCTATACTAGATGTGCCTGTTATGTACTGGCGGTGGACCGTTCCTCCCGCCTATGCAGAAGAACGTTCAAAATGCAGCCGAACCGGAGAATGCTCTGGTATCCAATAACGCCTGCCCCCTTTGATTTTGTGTTTCCAACCCCCCCTCCCCCAAACCAAAGTTTTCCAATAGGTCCCCCTGCAATGCAAACGATTACGGCCGGGCTGGATCGTTGGGCAAGAAGTTACCTACGATGAGTGTAGGGCTGTCTACTTGTCAGCTTCAAAAGGCGCGAGACTAGTGGGTGGGCGGATACCAACATTTTGTGGTTATCTCGTTGAATCATAAATGAGAAGCAGCAATGAACCACCGGGTCTGTCGCCTTGTCGTCTGGGTTCTTTAGTGTGCAGGCTGTAAGTAACGTATCGTGAGCGGGATCGAAGGCGATGGTTCCAAACTCTTCCCAGTATCGCACGAGAGACTCTTCCGTCAGAATCTCGTGGAGTGAGATCTTGCCCTATGATCTGGTTAGTTGCAACGTGACTTGCTTGAAATGACCACAACACGTACATCGCGTAGGTTCTCCACAGGCACATGGAGAAGTTCCGCCATCTCATTATTGCCTCTGAAGATCTCTCCAGTTCTCCGCCAACAACACGCTGGCACCGCCATACTGGCAAATACACGGTCGTACTCCATGAGCTGTTTCTCGAACCACATTTCCACGTAGAGCAGTTCCATATCCGTCAGAGCTTGCGCCTTTTCGCGGAACTTGGGTCGGAATCGATCGATCGTTCGCAGAATCTTCTGCTTCGATGATGCAGCGATGTGGCCATCCAGGTACGTGCCCAGTCGCGCGTAGCCCTTGACGTAGTTGAAAGGCTTCAGCAGACCAGCCTCGTACTTGGCCTTTAATACACGGTCCATGCGCTCCTCAGGGGTATCATTTCCTGACGGATCGGCCGCCTGGAGGTAGTATTCACGCGCCTTGTCTTTGTCGCCCTGAACGATGCTGCCTGGCCGTGATATCGCCTTGCCCTGCTCCAGGTTCTGTGGAGGCAGCATCTGCGAAAGCGCATTATTGCCATTGCTAGCACCGGCCCGGTTATTCCCATTATGATTTCCAAACGTCGGCAGCATATCGTTGGCGCCCGCGGTCCTGCTGAAAGCAGGGCTGTTTTGGGACTCGTCGGAGACAATGCCGCCGTCATCCAGTAAGCTCGTCTGCAGAAAGTCATTCAACAGGTTGAACTCGTGCGTGACTTCGGGGGCGATCAAGTAGTTGTTGGGGTGATAGCTTTGCATGTCGTGGTAGTGGTTCTGGGCCGTCAACCAGGCATCGGAGAATCCAGCGACTGTTCGACCGGGGCGCATCACGTTAGCTTCCAAGTCTCTCTCAAGTTGAGGCTGCTTGTTGTCCTTCTGTACTCCCTAGAGAGCGCAGGCGCGTGCAAAAAGAGCAAGGAGCCCCCAAGTACGAACAGCACGGCACTGTGGAAAAGGGGGAGAACAAGCCCGCGGGTGAAGACCTACATTGGTTCACATTGCTGCCGTTTCCCGCCATGCCGGTGCCTGCCCCCGGTGACACGAGGTGCAGCGGGTTCCCCTGGCCCAGTACAGCGGCGCCAAAAGCAGACGCCTTGCGGTCGAAAGGGGGCGGCGGGCCCATGGACCCGGTCGCAGATTGGTCGATGGAGCTTCTCGTGAGCTCAGATTGCGTCGTCTCGGACTCGTCGACAGCGGATGGCGCGTGAGAGCTCTTGGCTTTTTTGGAATCGGCATCGCGGGGCTCATCGTGGCAGAGGTGGCCAATATTGCGCTTGATGCATCTTGTACATGGTCGTTCCTAGGCACAACATGTCAGCGGGTGTGGTACGAGCCAAAGAAACGGCATGCGCGCGCTCATCCCCGCGCAGGGCTTCCAGTAAGCCGAGTGGACAGCGCGAGGAGACAGAGATAAACGGACGCCGCAGCAAGGCAGCCCGTCATGTGTCAAGGTTGTGTGAAGAAAGAGATCTTACATACGAGATCGCATGTCATATGCTATAGAGCAGGCAAGACACTATCCGTCAGCCATCTTTTCTCTTTCCCGCTTATTGTTTGTTCAGGCCCTGTAGGTTTCCTTCTGCAGGGAGACGAAGTTGCGCGTATATGCAGGCAGGGGTTTCGTTGGTTGGCATAATCATCGCACGGCAGCAATCGCAGAGACATGATAGTGTCAACACCATGCGCGGAGCCGGGGAAGCAATGCCAGTTATGCTGTTTGGGTAAGGGCTATCTGACTTACAGATCGCCGGCAGTAGACGCAAGCTGGGAGGGCACATGACATTAGCTGGTGCTTCCGCACGACTTGCGGCACTGAGAGAGAGAGTCGCTGCAGCAGCTGCAATCGCAGTCTCAAGGGAGCCCGCGGATACAGCGCGCAGCTGTACGTGGGGTTCAACATACCGTGGTTGACCTTGCGGCGTTTTTTGGGGCTCTTGGCCGAGTGAGCATGGCCACCATTGTTCTCGGTCTTGTCGCGCTTTTCCCTGTCGTCTTGCGCTTCAGACTTTACGTCTTTGCCGTTATCTGGCATGGCGAGAGACCCAGGACGGGTGACGGCAGCAGTTATGGGTGGTGGTGGTGGTAGTGGTAGGAGTGGTGGTGGTGGAGGGCGGGCTCGGAATCAGTTCAATGGGGCAGCGGCTCCCATTGGACCTCAAAGGTTACGCAGTAGACGAGGGTTCGCAGATCATTTGACACCGGGGGTGAATAATGCTAATCGACCGTGGTGTACTCTCGAGTGTCTGCGCAAAAGATTGGGCGTGGCGGGTTTCTGCAGACAGAGTGGTAGGGAAAACGAGGTTGTCGCGTGCGGGTAGCCGGCGAGCTGAGTTCGGTCGGCTATGGTTGCTTTGCTTTGCTTGCTTTCGGATTCGTCCCGCCTTGCAGTTCTCGAGTTGGACACAGATTGCAAGGGATCCGTTGGAAACTGCCGATCCTCTTTTCCAAGTTCCTAGGTAGTCCTCGTCCTCCTGGTACGTTCATTCGCTTCGGGTCCGGGGATCGCGGAATCGTGGGCGTTTTCGAGCGTGGTCGCAATTTGTGGTGTAGGTGTAGGTGTTGGTGTTCTGGTCGTGGTGGCTTCGGACAGTCGCATGGAGAAGAAGAAAAAATGGGTGCGGGCTTTTGGCGCAATGAGCAAATGATGATCAGTCCCAAGGGAATGGGATGGGAGCTGAACCAGGCGAGCCAGGCGAGAGGGAACCAACCTGGTACCTTGGCTGAAAGCTTCGCAGAAAAGGAAAAGGGAAAAAAACGACAACGGGCAGGCGGCGTATCCGTACCCAATTGCCATGGGAAGTGGGTTAGCTAATTGAGCACCCGGCATTCCTTCCCACCCACTTCGACACATTAGCCTTTGGGACGAGCCCAGGACAGGCAAGATCGATGTTGTTGTGTTCCTGGTAGTGGAAAGTACCTGACCCAAGCGGGGGATGCTACTTCGTCGTCTCACTCAACCTTCACTCACTCAATACTGCGTGCGATTTCACTCATCAACCTCAATCGTGAGAAACCACTTCAATAAACTCTGAGGCTTACAGCCACAATCTTATTAGTAAATCACGACTCACGGCACGGTATCCAAGGCTGGGCGCAGCTGGGCAGAAGTGGGTTACAACCAGTAATCGTCATGTAATGAGGTATCCCCCCTCACCTAGCTGGTCGGACGTCGCCCGATGAGACAAGCAAAATGAGAGCGAGAGAGTCGTAGAGAGAAGCGGTAGGGGAGAGAATGCGATTTGGTTTCCCCGCCTTCTCCTTCATCCCGACTTGTCACCTTTTACCTCGGTGAAGGTCTCATCACGCACATTTAAGACTCGGTGACATTTTACGAAAAGGTACCTCGGTCAATCATCTGCCAATTCAAAGCAATGATATCACACCAGCACGCATGGCACAGACATTGCTAGAGGAACCCACCCGTCAATGCAGCTTCCCTTCTGCCCTACGAGCTATCTTTAGTCGCTGTTCCCGAAATCCCCTGAGCAGCTCCATCACCACCGTCGCATCAAACCAAACGGTAAATTCTTGGCTCTCGAAAATGTCAAGGCAAGCCCGCAAACCAAGTGGTCCTTCGTCCCATCTTCTACTGACTACAACGATTCAGCCAGTATTACTAGTATACCTAGTCAATTTGCGCTCCAACGGCAGCGAAGCAGAATGGAAAAAGACCAACGGCTGAGAGCTAGTATTCTCCAGTCGCCTGCAGCATGCAATGTAATGTAAGCATGAAACCACAGCCCGCCATTCGGCCCAAGGTGGTTTTCTGCTTCGCTCTCTCGCACTCTCTTGCTTCCCCTCGGCCGCCCTGGTCCACGGCTTTCCAGCTGAGAGAAAATCACTACCGCTTCCAAGTTCGTGCTGCTTCATCCATCGCCCCGGCTACCCCGGCCCCAAAGTCTTCCCCCTCATCATCCCATCTCTCTGTGCTCACGGGACTTGGCGATTTGGGGGCGCATTCGAGATCGTGTGACGCATTGCTCTCCTGGGTACTTCGCAGTAATGGTTATGCAATACTACAAGGGGAGAATTGAATGAAGTGACACAATATATCGTAAAATCTTCGTCAAGTTCGCCAGACTCTTTACGAATTGAACACCAAAAAAATCGACACTTGAGCACCTAACCCCTCCAAGAAAACAAGAAAATAATCCCATGCAAACCGAAAAAAGTCTTGGCGCCCGTTGCTAAATGGCTACGAAAAAGCTCTTCTCCCCCTCCTTCGGCAGCACCCTGGCCCTCCTCATAATCGGATCCTCGCAGCTTAGCCGGATCCTCTCGGGTGTAGCCGGGCTCTCCAACCTGAGCAGGCCATCCCCCTCCCGGTCCTCCCCGACCGTCGCCGCCACCCCGTACTGCGCCCTCGACGCCTTGAGCGCGTCGCGGATCGCAAAGAACACCGCGCTGCCCATGAACAGCGGCGGCTCGCCCACGCCCCGCGATCGCTGAATCGTCCGCAGGTCCTTCCACTCCACGTCCTTGAGCAGCGTCACGTTGAACTCTTGCGGAATGTCGCGGAACCCGGGGATCTTGTACGCTCCCGGACCCCGCGTGAAGAGGTTACCCGCCATCGGCCCGTTGCGGAGCCAGAGCGATTCCTCCATCGTGAAGAGGCCTAACCCTTGGACAAAGGCGCCCTGGATCTGGCCGTAGTCGAGCGCCGGGTTGATGGACTGCCCGACGTCCATCTTGATGTCGGCCCGGAGGCACGTCCACGTGCCGGTGAGTGTGTCAATCTCCACCTCGGCCGCCGTGACGCCCTGCGTGAAGTAGAAGAACATCTTGCCCCTGTTCTCGCCCCACGTGTACCCGATCTCTGGTGTCTTGTAGAACCCTTGCGCCGAGAGGTTCACTCGGTCAAAGTACGCGGCGTGCGCCAGATCCTTCATCGTCGCGCCGGGTCCCAGCTTCTCCCTGTACGGCGCCAGGCGCTCGTTGAGCTGCGCGCACGCGTTGTAGATGGCGTAACCGTTGAGGTCTGACGAGGCCGACGCGGCCGTCGCTGAGGCGTTGGCCACCGTGTTGGTCGCCGTCTCGGAGATGAAGACGTTGTCCAACGGCACCTCGAGAGCTTGTGCGGCGATCTGCGTCATCTTCGTGTGCAGTCCCTGACCCATCTCCGTACCGCCGTGGGCCACCAGGACGGATCCGTCGTGGTAGATGTGTACGAGAGCGCCCGCCTGGTTTAGGAAGAGGGCAGTAAAGGAGATACCGAACTTTGTCGGGATGATTGCTAGGCCACGCTTGCGCCACTTGTTGCCATCGTTGAAGCGCCGGATAAGCTCTCTCCGCAGCTCGTACTTTGCCTCGTCCTGAACTTGCTTGTACATCAGTGGTACGTGCCAGTCAGTCAGGGGCTGGTTGAAATGCGTCGGCTCCAACGGCTTGTAGAAGTTGATCTCACGGAACTTCTCGACTGGCATGCCCAATCGATCCGCAACCTCCTCCATGTAAGTCTCGGCAATGAACATGCCCTGAGGTCCGCCAAATCCTCTAAAGGCCGTGTTCGACATGGTGTTGGTCTTGCACAGCCGGCCGCGGATGAAGACGTTGGGAATCCTGTAGCAGCCGTCCGAATGGGACATTGCTCGCTCGCAGACGGCCGCGCTCAAGTCGAATGTCCAGCCGGCGTTATTGAAGACGTCGAGATCCAGCCCTTGTATCTTGCCGTCCTTGTTCACGCCGACCTTCCATCTGCCCAAGAACGGATGGCGCTGCCCCGAAGTGACCATGTCCTCTTCTCTCGTCAGCATGTAGCGACACGGCCGCCTAGTTTTCCTCGCTGCGAGCGCGAGCGGTGCGCTCAGTTGGATTGATCTCGTCTCCTTGCCTCCGAAGCCACCACCAAGTCGCTTGACGCGAACGACGATTTTATTTGCTGCTACGCCCGTCATCCGAGCAACAAAGACTTGTCTGCAAGCTGTTAGTACAAAAACCACAGATTTAATGAAGAGTGAGCTTACGTCTCGTTGGCGTTTTGGGTGCTGGAAAACACCTCCATCTCGCCATCCTCGAGCTTGGGGACTACCAATGAAGCCTGCGTCTCGAGATAGAAGTGCTCCTGGCCACCCATTCGCGCCGTGCCGGTGAAGATGTGATCGCAGTTCTTGAATGCCTCTTCAGTGTCGCCGTTCTTGATCTCTCGGTAGTAGTTGTGGAAGCTGTCCTTTTCGATCGCTTCTTCGATTGTCAGGATTGATGGCAGGTCCTCATACTCGACCTTGACTGCACGTGCGGCCTCGGCTGCCCTCGACGCTGAAGTAGCCAAAATCATAGCGATGGGCTGACCAGCAGTATGGACCTCGCCTTCGGCAAAGAAGAGCTCGTCAAAGTGAGGAGCACCCCAGCGGTTCTGCTCAGGTGAATCGACGTCGTCCTTGTCGATATAATCGACGACACCAGCCATGTCCAGTGCGGGAGAGTAGTCGATCGACTTGATCTTTGCGTGAGCTTTTGTCGACAGCACGAAGCAGCCATGCAGCTCGTTCTTCGCCACCGGTATGTCGTCGATGTATTGGGCCTCTCCAGTGACTTGCTTCAGAGCGGCAACATGGCTCTTGGACTTGCCCACGGTCTCCTGCTCGTACGCAGCAGCCGCGCCGTGGTCTTCGGTTCCGCCAGAGATGCCACGCTCAAGTTCGTCGACCGCCTCGATATCTATATGCTCGCTCTTCCCACCGAGATTGGCGATGACGTCGTGGTAGAAACGGTAGAAGAAGCTGAAGGCGAGCGCCTTTCGGTACGAAGCCATGCCTCCCGGAACGCTGAATTGCAGATCAAAGTCGGTTCCCAAGGCATTCATTGCTCCTTCGAGGGTCTCGAGCTCGGCAATGCGCTTGCCCACCAAGTACTCCATGGTGTTCTTCGCGGCTACTGTCATGGCCGCCATTCCACCATAGATGAGGTTGCACTCGGTCACTACGCCATCGTCGTCCATCTTGATCCGTAGAGCACCGGTCACGATGGCAATGTCGTCGTCTTTCCTCTTGGCCTGCTTGTATGCTCTGAAGAACTCATTCTTGGCAGCCGTCACGGGTATCCTGATGGAAGCAATGATGGCGTCTTGAGGAAGTGCTGTACGTCGGTATCCTGTGAAGAACTGTGACATGGGAATCTCGGTCTCTTCGCTCTGAGACTTGGCCACCAAGACGGCATTGGCTGCCCAGAGTACCGGGTTCAAGTCTGAGATGGGCGATGCAGTAACCAAATTCCCGGCAGGGGTACCAACATTGCGAATCTGTCTGCCAGCAAAGTACTTGAGTTGCTTGTAAATGCCCTCAAACACCTGGCCGCGAGCGTCTCCATAGTGGCGCGTTGCCACTTTGCTGATGTGCTCCAAGTCTGTCAGGACGACGTTTCCTCCAATCTCTAGATGGTCATCCTTGAATTCGTACTGTCGCAATTCGGCAATGTCCCCAACGAAAACGGAGACGGGGTATTGTGCCGCCTTGAACTTTACTTCAATCTGGGTTTCGGTGCTGCCACCGATAATCTTGGCTGCAGGGTGTATGCTCTTGATATCCAGCAGCTGCTGAAGTGTTACTGGCCTGTACCACTTCTTCCTCTTGTTGCCGAACGAAAGCGGCCTCATCTCGTGCTTCTTGAGGGCGGGTGGGAAGATGAGTTCGGTATCGGGGTTGTACTCGATGAAGCCGGGGGGCGTGAATCTCTTGATAGGTTGGTCATCAAGCTTTGCCTTGTCCATGCAGCATCCGCCCTCCTTCTTCTCGCCGTTGCCATTCTCCATGCAGCAGCCCGAACCACCGTTCGTCCTCGCCTTTCCACATCCCCTCTCGACGCTAAATGTCTGCGCGGCCTCGAGAATAGGCTTGTAGCCGGTACATCTGCACAAGTTGCCATCGAAGGCTTCCTCGATGTCTTCTTCCGAGGGCGAGTCGTTGTTGCGTAGCAGAGCGTACAAGCTCATGACAATGCCGGGGGTGCAGAAACCACACTGACTGCCGTTGCTCTTCGCCACGCGCTCCTGGGTGGGGTGTGGCCTCTTTGTGTTTCCGATGCCCTCGATGGTGATTACGTGCTTGCCGTCGACACTGGCTAGGGGTGCCAGACAAGCGTTTACGCTCGCATGGTAGATCTGCTTCGTCGTCGGATTGAACTGGGAGATGACGACGGTGCAGGCACCGCAACCGCCTTCGCCACATCCACTGATGGGTGTTAGTGTGTGTCATGATTGCTTCAATCTCCTGCGGGCCAGAAAGCTAGGGCCTGGACATACAGCTTGGTTCCCGTCAAACCGATGCCTCGCAAGTACTCCAAAAGAGTTACCTCGGGGTCAATCTCGTCTAGCACGACCCGGGTGCCATTGAGGTAGAAGCGAATGGTATCGTCAAAGTTGGTTGTGAGCGAGTTCAAAGGCCCGACATCCCGCTCGGGGGAGATGGCGATAGGCGCCATGTTGCCAGGAAGCTGCCGAGAACCAGTTCACTGTGAGATGTGATATCAGGTAAGTCCTTAGCACGCTTCGAAGGTCTTTGGGTAGGAGGATGAGGAGGGAGTGTAAGGAGAGGGAAAGGAGAGGGAAAGGAGAGAAAAGGAAACGGGTGTAGGTGCGCTTAGGATGGTGGAAGAGAGACAACCCCGCAGCTTTATTGTAGAAAGAGAGGCGAAGACGATACTAATTCAGGTTGAGCCAAGCCTCCGTAGGTACCTAGGAGTAGTGTTTGCTGCAGAATGGGCCACTTGCCAGCCAGTCATACTTGTGTACGGAGTATATGTGTGTCTATTTACTGCATTCCGCTCGCCTATATCCGTGGGAACAAATGTTTGCAAATATTAACGGGCGGTATTCCCTCTGGTTTCTGATTCCATGTGCTCAGTGATTGCTGTGGCAAGACAAAACAAAAGCTGTCGGGCGTCGCTGACATGTTGGCTGCGGTTTGCGACGGGCGTCTGGCGAATCAGAGGGCCCAAGTTTGAGCTTATCAGCGGATCCCGCCAATCTGCATCTGCGATTTTGGTGGGATGCGTTATCGTTATCGGCCCTCCCCCTCCTCCCCACTAAGGCCGGTGCTTCCCCGCCACTGAGACATCGTCTTTCAGTTGAAGCCATGAGCACTGAAAGATCCGTGCAGCCCCGCTGCGCTTCATGCCGTTCACCAGCGGCCCCTCTGTCGGCCGGCTCCGTCTCCCCTTGGTCGGCATCTTCCACCCTGCGTGCCTGCATCGCCAGAAGGTCTAGACATGCAATTTGTTCCATCTGGCACCGATTCCCATCTTGAACCCCTGCATACGATGTACGATTGTACCTTATCCAACGAGTCGAATGCACTCAGAGATGCTATGCGACTCTGTAGCTTATACTGTACGCATCAACGGGGATCGGTCGGCACGTGGCTCGTCATAGGTATACAACGCTCAATCCACGCTCCGCAACCAAGTCTACCTTACCTCGGTGAGGATGAAGCGATGCTCCCAACCCAAAGCTCACCTCCGCTCACCTCTGCTCACCGATATTCACCGATATACACCGAAAATGATTAGATGACAGACAGGCATCCCAGCCCTCCGTCACCGAGAATGATTCATCAACACTCCGGCGCTGACAAACCCCCTCCACCAACCTCTGTCATCTATCCCCAGCCGTTCACACAACTCTTTTACCCCGATCCCCGGCAAATCCTTCCAAGATTATATTGCTTACCCCAGAGGATGCGGGCTGAGGAACGGGGAGAGTTGCTTATTGCAGGCCCCCCGCGGCTCCATCTTTGTCTATCTCAACTGCCGTCAAACCTAAATCCTCCGCCGTGTCAGCAGCCCGGCACCAAATCCGGAACGCCTAAGGCCGATTGACATCGCCGATAGCTCGAACCCCTCCCTTCTCCGCAGGAACATGGAGCAGCGTGGCATTTCGGCTGCGTTCCAGCTATACCGGCTGAGACAAGTTTTTGGCTCTTCGACGGTGCAATGACCGAGGTAGAGAGTAGATATAGCTTTGCCGACACGTCGATTCTTAAGCTGGCATGTCTGCCTCTTCAGAACTCTCCGCAGCCATGGGATACCTGCTTGATTCGACAGCGGACAACATGAAGTTCTACAACGTCATCAACGGCGAGCGCCGTGGGAGCGATAACCACCACCAATGCACAGATCCCCGCACCGAGGAACCGCTCTGGGATGCTCCCCTTGCCACGACGCAGGATCTTGAGGAAGCCGTTGCAGCCGCCCAGAAGGCCCTCAAGACTTGGTCCAAGACTGCGATCGAAGAGAGATCCAATCTCTTGCGCAAGATTGTGGAGGTTTATACCACCCACAAGGATGAGCTGAAAGAAATCGTCATGAAAGAGACGGGGAAATCGGTAATACCATAACCTTTATCATAAAATCAATCCAATGATGAGAATACTGATGATTCGTGGCGTTTAGAGTCTCATGGCCGACATTGAAATCACAAATACTTGCAATCAAACCTCGTACTATTGTATGCCTGCACTGTTCTCTTGAGTTGACTCGCTCATACTTACAATTAACAGCAAATGTTCACCTCGAAGATGAAGTCACTTTCGAGGACGACAACATCAAGATCGTCGCCACTCACCAACCACTGGGTATCGTGGGGGCTATCTGTCCTTGGAACTTCCCTCTCATCTTGTCAAACATCAAAGTGGCATCCTCGCTCATCACCGGCAACTGCATCATCGTCAAACCCTCGCCCTTCACTCCGTATTCTGTCATGAAATCCATCGAGCTGCTCATCGACGTCTTTCCTCCCGGTGTCGTACAGGTAGTCAACGGCGGCGTCGACTTGGGTATCGCAATGACCTTGCATCCAGGCATCGCCAAGATCAGCTTCACCGGGACAATTGCCACAGGAAAGAGCGTCATGGCGAGCTGCGCAAAGACGCTCAAGCGCTTGACCTTGGAGCTAGCGGGCAACGACGCGGCGATCGTGACTGACGACATCGACATTGCAAAGGTGGCAGGACAGGTCGCGCAAGGATGCTTCTTCAACGCCGGGCAGATGTGCGTCGCAACGAAGCGAGTTTACGTCCACGATTCGGTGTATGAAAAGTTCCTGGATGCCTTCAAGAGCGCAGTTGCCGAGAAATATGTCATCACCAAGGATGCCCACGCACCCAGTTTGTTCGGCCCCGTCTCGAACAAGATGCAGTATAATGTTGTCAAGGATATTTATGACCACTACAAGAAGAATGGCTTCAATATGATTGCTGCGGATCATCCCGAAGACTCCAAAGGCTTCTGGATACCCCCGACCATTGTCACAAAGCCTCCTGATGACTCTATTTTGGTCAAGGAAGAACAATTTGGTGAGCCGGCTAATCTTTTCCCAAGTGTCTTGAGCTAGATACCGCCTCTCTCTGCTCTAACGCACAAGCTAATTATGCTGACTATGCCACCAGGCCCGATAGTACCCATCTTATCTTGGACAGAGGAAGACGAGTTGTTCCAGCGAGTCAACCTGGCCAACGCTGGTCTCGGGTCGTCTGTCTACTGCCGCGATCTAGGCCGTGCCGAGAGCCTCGCCCGGAGGGTAGAGGCGGGAACAGTCGCTATCAACCTCCCCGAGATACCGCACCACGGAGGTTACTTCTCCGGCATGAAGGACAGCGGCCATGGGGGCGAGATGGGCAAACACGGCCTTCATTCATACTGTTACACGCAAAGTCTGCAATTTGGCAAGAGTTGATCAACCCGACAAGATGGCAAACAAGCGTTTAAGAAGACTTATTACATGCTACTTTAAGCGTGTTACTGTAGCCAGAGACTCGTACCAATAGTCTAGTCTCGCTAAGACGTAGTACATACAAATGGACCCAATATTTTCACACCGCTCAAGCAGTCTTTGCGCGATTCTCAAGCTCGACGAATTGCACCGCAGTATCCCCAATGGTATCCTCCAACTTCCTATACTCCATCCCAAGAACCTTCTCCGCCAACGACGCATCAACCCCAAACATGCCCTCCGCCAGCGCCGTCTTGGCCGGGTCCCCCTTTGGTATCCGCCCTTCCCACTGCGGCAGCTTCTCCCTCAAAATGTTCGCCAGTCGCTGGTTCGACACGCCCCCGGGACTCACCAGGAATCTCTTTCCGCCCGCCTCGGGCGTGGTCGCTGCCAGCAGGTGCGCGCGCGCGACGTCCCGCACGTCGACGTACAGGTGCAGCATCTCAGGCGGGACCGGCGTATCCTTGGTGAGTGACGGCCCGCAGAAGTTCTGGTAGAGCATGTGGTTGCTCTCGTTCAGGGTCTGCGGGGAGGCCGTCGCCGAGACGTCGTAGAGGGGTCCGTAGACGATGGGCGGGCAGATTGTGACGAGGTCGAAGGCGGGTTTAAGTTCGGAGGAGAGGAAGGCCCAGGCTGCCTTTTCAGCGAATTTCTTGCTGGCGACGTAGGGTATCGCGGGGTGCGTTGACGCCTCTGCGTCCTCCCTCGATACGCCGAGCCAGTCCTTCTCGCTGTAAATCTTGGGCGGCTCGGAGACGGGGGGCTTGGTGATGTCGATCACGGCGGCCATGGAGCTCGTGACGATGACTCTCTTCACGGTCGGCGCCTTGCGCACCACGCCCTGTAGGATCTCGGTCGTGCCCTTGACGGCTGGGTCGAGGAAGTCGGCGTTGGAGTTGCCCTTGCGGAAGTTGAATGGCGAGGCCGTGTGAAGGACAACGTCGAAGGGCGCATGGTCCGAGACGAGGACGGTATCAAAGGCGCCCGGAACGGCGATGTCGGGCACCAGGGCGAAGTCGAGCTGCGTGGAGGGGTAGGAGGCGAAGGTCTTGTGGAGCTGGTCGACGGAGGACTGGGAGCGGACGACGGCGCGAACGGAGTGGCCTGCTGCGAGAAACTGGGCGAGGATGTGTTGGGCTATGAAGCCGTTTGCGCCGGTAAGGAGGACGCGGAGAGGCATGTTGGGGAGGCTTGTTGTGATGATGACTATTTACTCTTGGTATTGGCGTTTGGGATCTAGCAACCACCCTCTGGCTTCAACGTGATTGTTGAGCTTCATTCTGAGCTTCTTTATAATAGCGTTCGCAGCGCTGCCGGAACAGTTCCGACCCCTCCGATGACATGTGGAAACTTGCCATCACAGCAAGCATAGCTCCATGACTCGCAGCAGCTTTCCACCTTCCTCCTCTCGTATCTTCCTTCCCAAGGCCACCATACCTTACCTCGTACAAAAAGTGACCGAAAAGATTATGGAACTTTCCGACCAAAGCGACACCTTGGTCTTGACGTACCCGACTATCGGTACCAGTTGAAGAATTTGCTGCGGTACGGTCAGGCTCGTCGGAGAAAACGGTGTTTATTAAACTTTGGGATGAGAAGTGCGATTGCAACTTTGACCGGGGGTCCGGGGCATAGTTAGGCGGCATAGGCCACAGCCTACGGTAAACAAGAGCTATCCGAAGACCGCGCCGGTGGGAGGGGTAATTGGTACACGAGGCAAGCTTCAACTGCCGAGGTGATGCAGACATCGCAGAGTGCTCCGTGAGTTTCACCGTCTCGGGTGGTGAAAGAAGCAGTACGTACGTCTTCCGAATTGACTGCCGGCTTTGCTTTTTAGAGTTCCAAGGGCCTAAACCATCGGCCGTGGAAAGGCTTGCCGTGTCTGGGAACGGATTGCACGTATCAACCAATGGTATTATCGCAGCATCCCACTATCTGATTAGTATTTAGAAAAGGTCAAATTATTGCGTAAGTGGGCATCATATGTAGGAGAGGCTTATCTGGTTGGATCCTACCTTAGGCAACTCATGGCAACTCCAGCATCGATTGATTAGCATTACACAGGAGCCAGATTACATCCGACAGATACTCTCTCGGCTCGGGGCCTGTTTGCACGAATGTATAAGACAAGGTAGGCCGGGACGTTTCCGGTCGCCCTTGCAAGTCGAACGGAACCCCCACGTTCCCTACCGACCGTATGAACGTGTCCCCGTAACCCCCGCCTCCGCACCGGGCCGATGTACGGACTACTCCAAAAACTACCAGCCAATCCCGGCCAGAACCTCAACAATCTGCCCCGAAAAGGACCCATTTTGCCGGGCCTGCCGCCCGCGTCCACAAGCGCCAAAAAAAACACAAAGGCGGAAATGCCGCATCGGAAATCAAAAATATTGACCAGCCTGGGGGTCGAACCCAGAATCTCCTGATAACTGATGAATCGTAGTCAGACGCCTTGCCATTGGGCCAACCGGCCATGATTGATTGGACACTCCAGAGGATGTTGACGATTCGAGCCGGAATTGTGTCAATACTTCCTTCCAGGATCATAGCCACTCCAACGGCGGCAACTTGAGCAGCGCAGCCGCATCAGAGGACACCGACTATCACAGTGACAGATGAATGTACGAGCTAGTGATTATGGCCCAGTGATTCGTTGTGAGCACATCGAGACTTTCTCAATCAGCGGCTACAATTGAAAGAACCCAAGGACTTGGTCAATTGAGACTTTGACGCAGCTGGCTTATATTTATAGCACCCAGCGGTCTTCGAGCCTTTCAGCGGCCGAGTCCAACCTCGATGTCTTGATGTGCCCATGGGTCATGGCCCTGATTCCTGAATCGATGAAGTACATAGCCACACCAGAGTTACCGTCGGTGCAAGGTGCTTGTTCCTAAGCTCTAGATGACAAGTAAATGTTGGGCTGCCGGACTTGTTGCTGAACCTCTCCAGCTCAGGGTTTTCTCGGGCGTCATCGAGATGAGCCACTAATGCAGCAGGTGCCATTAGGAGTCACCGAAACATCACCACCCAAAAGAATTAAGGTAAGACTCATTTATTCTGGACTTACCTGTACCATATTCGTTCTCGGGTATGATTATCGATTCGTTGACGATGGTATGAATGAGACTGCATTCTCATCAATCCCCGTCTTCGTAGCGCCTTTCTATTCTTGGCTTCTCTCTTTTCCATACTTGGCAGACTTGTTGCCGTAGAAAGGAATTTGCGCTGTAAATTACCTATCCTCTGTAGAAGCGGTAAGAAAACACCGAGCTGTTGTACTTGAAGAAGCAGTTTCACAAGAGAGTCATGCGACTTTAGCGAGAGCAATCGTTCTTTGTGGTTGGTTCAAGCTCCCTCGGTCATGTAGATCGTCATGCTATTGATATATGTAAGTTTATGACTTAGTCATGTCACTTCACGATTGCGCTGCGAAATCCATTTGTAACTCGCTAAGGTAGTGGGGCTGGTAATCAATCTGTGCCAGCGATCACGACTTCGCCATAGCTAAACGGCTATTTCGGGAATCTGGTAGTTGGAGACCGTCCCGCGTTTGGAAATAGGAACCCGTCAACTCTATATAATAGACAAGTTGTCAACTCCATTGATTGCCATTAGTTCATCCCATCGGCTCGTAACCTTACTATCTTATACTTTCACCAAGCAAAACGTTGTTTACACTTCACACTCCCCAGGCCTTGAACCTCTGAACGAATAACCTCAATTTGAGTTCATCCTTGTCACGCCTACACCGGGTTAAGAGCTAATTTAGTGAAAAACAGATGGCTCGCTTCATCTTCGCTCTTGCTGCACTTTGCGCTGCGACGGTCCAAGCTCATCCCCAAGCTAGAGGCAATTGCGGATTTGCCTTCACCGCTTCTGGAGGAGGACAAGCTGGCGGATGTGTCGGCGCTGGCGACACTGGAGGTGTTTCGATTCCCCAGGGACCGTATGTGCAGTTCGCCATGGGTAGGGACTGTAAAGTCAGCGTCACCAATGGCCCCATCGAGGGTTTGTCTGTTCAGTCTACGGGAGCGTGTTGAGCAACATTAAACCGAAGTAAAACTCGTCGACGGTGTTCAGGCTTGCTAGGCATGCATCAAAACCAGTCGGGTTGAGTCGACTCAATTTCTTCAGGATGATGTAAGAAGCTTTCTGGTTGCAATGAACAGTGTTGGGGTGAACATGGTAGGCTTGCGTAGTTGCGATATGCGAACATCGCATTTGTACAATAGCAGCGAGGTTCAGGGTGGCTTTTGCTCTTGGAAATGATATCCCGTGGAAAAGAAGATTGAAAGCACTGATGGCGGAGACTCAAGGTGACCAAGTCTTATACTGATCATGTGTTCAAAACAAACATGCCAGCTTTACAGTTTTGATGCTTCCCAGTTCCAACTCAATCTAGTATGCCCGCTCTAACTTATGCGATAGATCTGATGATTCCAAAGAACTACATCACGATGTCTCCATAGGATAATTATATCACCAACTAGGTGAGTCTCTTTCTGATACCGCCAGGTCAGTGAAGGTATTATCTGTCCATCCTAGATTGGCTGCTCTAAAAGTCGATCGAGATAGTATGTGTTCTCCAATCGGTACATACCTGGCTTATCAGTTACCATGGCCTCAGATTCATGATTACATATCACCTCGTTTAATCCCCCCTGTCGCGGTCTCTTTCCCGAGATACCATCCATATGGAAACATCAGATCTTCTCCCAAGATATTCATGACAGCCCAGCCTAAAGAGTAAATTGCTGCTTGGCAACTGTCAGGCTAACGCAGAGAAATTTGAGCCTCTCATATAGAAAAATAAACACAGTAGTGCTAGAAATTGCCTTTCCTGATGTTGTTAGCGGGTGGGTTGCTACGTTAAAAACCACAAGGTAGGAACGTAGTCCTTCAGGCGTGGAGAAAAGCGTATCCCGCCTATGTGTACCACACCTTTCGCTTGGCAGCTTCATGACAAAGGGACTGCTCTTCGTTGGTATTCGAAAGATGAAACGGTTCCATTTATATGGATGTATCTACTGTTTTCAAGTCCAGTAGTTTTCGAAGAGACAGGGAACTCCCGGCACACACTAACATACAATAGTGCCAGTAGACGCATTTGTTCCGCTACGGCAGTTTGTATTAGCCAGCAACTTGTTTCCACGCCCGTGACAACTATCTGGATAGAGAAACTCGTATTATTTGGAGATGCTGGCCGCTAAGGAGCATCTTCACCTACAGCACGCTACCCGATCGCTCATCGAAGAGGTTCCGCCTTTCAGGTCAACCGTCGAACCTTCAAGGATTCTTGTGGGGTTCGGTGTTTGGTAGGCGAGAAAATCTGCTCTCAGCACCACCCTAGCATGGGCATGGCTTGTTGGTTCTCCCGGCTCCCACCCAAAACCAGACGAAAGCCATTATTCCCGATATCTATCCCCTGACAGTTTGACAGGCGTCATGTGGAGATGGCCACCAACAGAGAGAGGACCACGATTCATTCGCGAACGATCTGGGGACACGAACGGTTCATGGTGGCACGATAGGATTTTCGGGCCGTTACGATCGAGAACGTCTTCAGATGGTAGAAAAGTTGCCATTCCCCTTGCCTCAACGTGGCCAGCTAGGTTAGTGACTCGCCAGTTCGCCAAGTTTCTTTGACACTGTTGCTCCGTCCAACCACGGGGTAGACACCACTGTGCCCGCTGTCGAAGTCGCGTCGCAAATAAAACAGGCCCACTGAAGGGATTTGACAGCGTTACATCAATTCTTTGGAGGTATTATTCGAATTACTTGGCTCATTTAGATCTGCGCTTTCCGCACGCCGCCACGCCGCTATCACGAAACCACAAAACTCTTCGTTTCACACCTCGACACGCCGCGGCACTTAGTTGCCCGGATACCATCTGCTGAGAATAGAGGTCACATTTGCCGGCCTGCTAAGGTGAGCACAGTGGCCGCTAGGCTCGGTCTCCGTCTTGGAGCCGGCAGGCAGGACGGCGGACATGCCCTGCTGGTAGCTGAGAGGCAGTGCGTTGTCAAGAGTGGCATAGAGGTAGGCGCAGTCGATGCCGTTGCTCCAGGGCTCGTAGCCGGAGGCGTTGGTGAAGGCACCGAGAGCGGTCCAGGTCATCTCGGACGCCCACTTCTCCTGCTCAGAGGCAGGAAGGTCGTTGAAGCCGACCTCGGGGAGCAAAGTGGCGTTGCCAACAACACGGTCCCCCTATAATGCATGTTAGTATGACTACCGTTTCGTAACCGACGGGAACTGGGGTATTGGGTTACATACCTCGACAATCATCCAAGGAAGAGGCTCGCCGCCGAGAAGGTCGAGCAAACTGGAACCTTTGGGGAGCATGAAAGCACTGGCGTAGACGATGCTCACAACACCACCAGAAGCACCAGCAGCGGAGCGAGTGGCAACGTCGTAGCCCTCAACAGCGTTGCTGGCCACGACACCACCGTAGGAGTGGGAGTAGATGACGACCTCCTTGCCATCGGAAACAAGCTTGTCCAGCTCGGTGCGCACGGCGGCAACATCGTCGGAGAGGGATGCCAGGGGCGTGGTGGTACCGCCGACGGTGGGGAGAGCTACAATGGAGGTGTTGAAGTCGGAGCCGGCCAGCTCGGTAGCGAAAGGCTGGAAAGCGGAGGGCAGCTGCCAAGCGCCGGGGACAATAAGAATTGAGGGCTTCATTGTGTAATGGGGATGTGAGGTGACAACTGGAGAACCACGAGTGATGCGATCTTGGATCTGTCAGAGATTGACGAGATGAGAATAAGGACAGAGATGGGCGAGGGATGCGTGCAGACTTGGATCGAAGTGGACTCTAAAAAGGAATGTGTAGCCTGCCTGGTAGCAACAACAAGAGGCAAGTGATGAGCAGAGGCAGGTGGCCTTTCTAAAGTACTACTTCGTATCTGCTATAGATATCAAGGCATGAATATACATCCTCAGCAAGCAATATCCCCGAAATGACAGCGGCCAAAAGCGATGAACGACCCGTGACAGCGGGATGAGCGCCGGGTAGTCTCTCGGATATTGCCATGAGGTCTTGAGTCCTTGAGGTCCGCTAGAGAGGTTTACGCGGTCCTCCGAAGTTATCCACAAACGGCCCAACGTTGGCGGTGGGTTGCTCCAGTTGTGAAAAGGGGTTCGAAGGGGGGCAACTTGAGGGGGTCATGACGGAACAGGTTATGGCGCAAGTGAACACCCAGTTCGATCGAGCGGAGACGAAAGGACGAGAGGGGCTCGGTACCTTACAGGCTTGCAGCTTGAAGAATGCATGTGGCAGGATCTTCTTTTGTGTACTACGTATGGAGTAGCATGTGCTGCGCCGTCGTTCTGCATTGTTCAGCATTTCTTTTTCTTTTGAGGTTCAGGCATCTCGCTAAGTAGTTTGCTTTAGTCTCCGAGGCCTTTTGCAACCATCTTCTCCATGTTACCTCGGCAGTCGAGGACTCGGGGGCTTGGGGCAAGCTTCGTATTATATCTCTTGTCGTTTTCAACTTGCCCCTCATACCCAAAGAAAAGCAATCCCTCATGTCAATATTCCACTTAGTATTTGACGATAATGACGCACAGGAAGGAATCGTGGTCCACCGCAAGAAGTTGAGTACAAGTTACAGGGTTGTTGACTCAATGTGGCCCCCATCCGCGTCTTCAACAGCTCTCTTCCGGGAGCTGTACAGAGGCCACAATTGCCGTGGTTTTGGCGTTGATCTGTCGATGTCAACCCTGTGCATGCAAGGATGCGCCCGGACGTCAAGGGGCATGGCATGCGGGCCCTAGTTGCTAGAGGCGGGTCTAGAAGAGGGGATCTCCCCCGAACTAGTCGACTAGCGTGGGATCAGTTCCAACGGTTTTTCGAGTTTGGATGCGAGACCCCAGAACGAGAGCCGTGCGCCGGAAGCATTCTTCCTAATCCGAGTCTATCGGACGTTGGCAACGATGTTTCCTAGTGTCTGTAGCGTGCTGCGGGCCGGCTTGTGTAGGCCCAAGACGGAGAAAGAAGAAAGACGAGACTAGGACTGGAACAATTTATACTCCTAGCCTCCTTACGACATCACACCCTGTCCATAGTCCACAGATGTCTGGACAACCCTCATGGGGTTCCTCCTCGAGACTGACAAAGATTGACAAACCCGACAACTCCTCGGGACTTGGCCGGGTGCTCGCTCCCCTTTTCGTTGCTTCTTTCGGTTGCAGTTCCACCTATTGTCTCTCTCTGGGCCCCTACCCGAGGTAGCAGTTGCAATGGGGGCAGATTGACATGTCAAACATGACAAGTCAAAACAGAAGTGATTGACAGTTTGGGAATGCAACAGTGGTTCGGGAAAAACGAACGGGTCCAAGAGCCCGAAACCCACGGCCGTGATAGACGACGACGGGGTTGTCGCACGTGTTTTTGCTTTTTCTCTCCTGCTAGATTTTGTGTAAGCAAAGCCCGCGGCAACGAAGGCATCTGGCATTCCCCAAAGAATGTTCAGAATAAAATGATTCCCCATCCCCACGTGGTGTGGCCGGTGTCGTCGACCCCCCTTGCGTCCGTTTACTCGGTAACCCCCCTCCACTCACCATCGACGACGACCCGTTTTCTATAGACCGCTGTTCAACGAGAGCCCGCGTGGCCATCAAGCCACCCGCCATGGCAGCCACTATGGTGACATACCCGTACAACGATCCGACTATCGATCAGCCCCAGAGGGACTATCTGAAGAAGCTGGCCGACTTCGCTGAAGATCAAAACCTGTCCGAGGATCTCCGTCCATATGTACGAGCGATTACGATCGCCTTCACTGTGTTTGCTGCATTTGTGGTTGGGTTAAGGTTCATGGCTCGTCACCTGCAGGGTGCGAGATACCTCAAAGATGACTACACGATGTTGTTCGCTCTAGTGATATTGATTGGAAACATGATCATGAATCTCATCCGTAAGTGGCATTGGAAGATGAGAGTACGAAGACATGCTAACATTCTCGCCAAGTGGTTGATGCTGGTATTGGACTGCATTCAGGTCGCCTCACACTAGAACAGCTGCAGTTTCTCGACAAGGTACGCATCAGCGTTCTCTAGCGCTGTGCAGTTTCGCTTTACTATCCAGCCCATGAGGACTAAGCTAACATTGTTTCTGTAGACCATGATCGGTGCCGAGATTCTGTACGTCAACGGAGTCAACGTATACAAAATAGCGCTGCTGTTGCTGTACCTACGCATCTTTCCAATGCGAGAAGTCCGCAAGGGAGCATGGATATGTGGCAGTTTGACATCGCTCTGGACGCTTGCTTGCGTCGTCGCCGCCTCGATACAGTGTCTTCCTTTGAACACGCTATGGGAACCGTGGAAGCCCGGTACTTGCATCAACCTCTTCTTGACGCAACTTGCCATCGCTGTGCCGAGCATCATTGTCGACATTGCGATTCTCTATCTTCCGATACCCCACGTGTTGAAGCTCCAGATGAATAGAGCTCAACGGATCCTGGTCCTCTTTACTTTCCTGCTGGGAAGCTATGTCGTGTTCTGTAGTGTCTACCGCTTCAGAATTTTCTTGCTATACACGAAAAACGATGTTCCTTGTAAGTCTCTTGACGCGGATGAACTCTCTGGCTATTCCGTGCTAACTCAACAATAATAGACTCATTGGCTCAAGGCCTGGCCTGGAACATCATTGAAATCAGCAGTGGTATCGTGTCTGCATGCTTGCCGACTCTTGTAAGTCTAGCAATGACAACGTTGATGATAACATGACTGATTAAGTGCACAGGGTCCAATCGTACGTGTACTCTGGAAGGGTCTCCTTGAATCCGCTCAACGAAGTGGTCTGGATAAGTACGCCCAGTCGTCCTCCAACAAGAAGTCGACAGGAAGGTCAGCAGGCATGACCATCGGCGGCGGACGATCCGGAAACGCCTCTCATGCAAGGGATGGCTCGAAAGACTGGTCCAAGCTTCCCGAAGCCAACGCCAAACCGAACTTCCGGGAGGAGTCCAAGTACGGCATCGGCCTTCGCACAATGGGTGGAGGCGACGATGACCGTAGCTCTCGTAGCTCAAATGACGTCGAGCTGATGCCTCAAAGCACGGTCAGCGTAACCGTGCGGAGCCCAGCCAGGGACAACTTTCCCGAGCATGAAGCGGGTGTGAGTGCGCGAGAGCACTACCACGGGAAGAAGATCTCTAAAGAAAGCAACTCTGGGTATCCTCACTCAGATAACAGGATATGGCAGCATCGCGAGGTTGAGATAACGACGGAGCCGGTAGAACCGGAGTCTGTCTTGCCGGATTTTAACAGGAAAAGGAAGTCGGGGATATGACGAGACGGACGCTGGCGGAATACCCATATGAATGAACATCGTCTGTAAATAACCTGTAATAGTATCTAGTATAATTATGCTAAAGGAGCATGAGCTTCAAATCTTTCAGATCAAGGCCTTGACGAGATGTTCAAAGTGATTCGGTTGTGGAAATGCATGTGAGTGAGCCACGAATAGGGTTCTTCATGATGTACAAAATTTCAAGTGTTGCCTCAAAGAGCAGCTTCTGTTTTGACTTCTCTGCGCATATGATTCTACGACAAGCAGAATGCTGCAAAGATACATCAACATGAAGTTAGTACCGTTACGTAGTCTATCTAAGATGACTCAGCCTGGTCTTGTTCCCTGGCCTTCTTCAAATCCTCCGGCCCATAGAGGTTCCTCACGGCGAAAATCAGCCCAGCTGCGAGTGCAACCATCAGAACCCAGATTGCGTAACCGCCTAGGGCCTGAGTGTTAGCACCTATGGCAAATAGGGTGGTGAATGAGGCCGGAGAAAATGCCCTGATGACGCTCGCTCCGGTAAGAGCCAAAGCATTCAGCGTTCCCAGAACACGAGGGCTGGGCGAGATGTCGTTCAACGACAATTGTATGGCAGTGAAGCTCATGCTCACGCCGCAGCCGATAGTGAGAGCAATGGGCATAAAGACCCAGAAGAACGTGACCCAGGCCGGATTGTGTACACCGAGCTTGAGAACGACGTTGCCGAGAGGGCAGATGAGGAAGAACCAAGGGTACGCATAGGCGCAGGCACGCAGCACACCGTTCGTGCCTATGCGATGCTGCAGTGGCGGGAAGATGATGAGAAGCCACGAGACTTGGGCGATACCGTTGACGGACATCATAACGGAGATTTGCAGAGGGGTGAAGCCGTAGCCACCAAGCTCGACTGGGGTGAACCAAAAGACGGGGACGACGGCCGTGTAGGACAATGCGAGGAGCATGAGGTAACCGTACACGAAGAGGACATTGGAAGCGCCTGGCGACTTGACGATCTGTTTGATGGAGCCCTTGTCCTTCTGGGGCGGTGCTGCTGCATCGTCGTTGCTGCTGTGCTTCTCCTTGACCAGTGTTTCCTCGACAAACAGTATGCTAGTGATGGTCGCCGTCAAACCAATGAAGCCCACGCAGAAGCTGGATAGTGCGTAAGGGTAGTCGAAAAAGAATTGAGCTTTGAAAACGCTCGGGTACTGATGCGCCGGATCGGCGAGGGCTCCGCCGAGAAGAGGCCCGAAGAAGATGCCAAGGTTACCGCTCAGAGCGAACCAACTAAAGGCCCTGGCTTGCGTCTTTTGGGTGACGTGCTCGGCAATCATGGTGCGCATCGTGACAAGAGATCCGCCAAACACGCCTGCCAGGCACCGGAAGAGGATCATTTGCCAAATGGTCTGTGCCATGCCGAAGATGGATGTGGCGATGGTAACACCGCAGAGGGAGAAGACAAGAACGGGCTTGCGGCCAATCCGATCAGAGAGTCTGCCCCAAAAGATCATGACGACGGCCTGGGTCAGCGAGAAGAGTGACTCGATGAGACCGCTGTAGAACCCGACGTCTGCTTTGGCGAGGTGGCCGTTCTCTTCGGCCATCTGGCTGATATACGGAAAGATGCAGAAGAAGGCCATGGGCTCTACAAGTCGCGCGTAGCATAGCCAAAAGACTTGCCATACCGGCAATGGCTTATCATCGGCGTCCGGAGTCTCATTCTCTTGGGATGGCTCATTGAGCGTTGTAGCCTTGGAGACATCGGGATCAGCGGTCGGAGCGATATCGCCGGCGATGAGCAAGGGAGTTGACTCCGTCGCGTCGTGACTGAAGGTGTCCCCGGTTGCCGGCTTCTGGTTCGGCGCCATCTTGGTAGCGTAAGAATGTGCGGTTGTGTTCGTATGAGCAATACAACTACCTACCCTAGAAGATGATGGTTCCCCGGTTTGGTCGGCCCTTTCTCAGAGCTTGTGTTCCAGGCACAAGCGACGTGACGAAGTCGCTTGTTGAGTAATGAAGTGTAGGTAAGCAAAGTGAGATGAAACGCAATTGACGTTGTTAATAATTTGAGAGCGCGTCACCTCGGTCTTATGTCAGACCGCCGCAATTTTCAGCCTTCCTAATCAGGTTAGGCTACATCACCAAAGTACCGTCCCGACTCTCAACAAACAATTCAATTCAATGGCTTTATTTAAGCATACTGAAGGATGGATTTTTTGTGTCGCATAAATGCACTTGTGCAACGAGACGCCAATTCCTTCGCTTGTCACTGATACAAAGAAGACTGAACAGCTCACCTGTTCATCTAGGGCTTCCGTCAGCTACATCCTCGGGTTCACTCATTTTCTCCTCTCGTCATAGTAAACATGGCTGTGACAGCTTTTATTATATCCAGAATGCCGCCTTTCGCTGGCTAGAAATCTTGGCTTCAGAGCACTGATCTGTTCTTAAAAATTCACTAGAATTTCAATTGTTAAATAGATCCATCCTGTGTAACTCTGTCCTGCAGGTTTATCTTTTTCTCGCGAGTCCATGTTACCCTTGTCTGCAGAAATCAGTACACCGAAGACTAGAGTCATCCGGTAAATCCTCTGCCGCTGAGATATGCATCTACTAGCCATTGCACGCTCTTATTACCTCCAAAGTCTTTCAGGTTTTCTGGCTGATAGGCTGAGTGGCCACAATCTCTTCCCCTTTGCCTGTATACTGGGTACCCGGGCTATCTCCGTCAGGCCTGTCGGAATCAGATCCAATGACCGAGGAGCCTTCCGCGCCAGCTCCTTCGGTCGCAAGCCTCATCTCCAGGTCAGGATGCTTGTGCTTCCATCTCTTCATGTACCATGTGCCGAACATGAGAAAAGCCCACATTGCGACTTCGAATACTGTAGCTGCGGGATATCCGTGGGGATAGCGCGGGGCTTCGACGGTTGGGAAGGTGAATAGAGGGATCCAAATCTGTCCACAGAATCCGAGGGTCATCATCGAAGAGATGATGAGACCTCTTTCACCATAATTCTCTTTGAGCGTGGAGTTCAACCATGAATACTAAAACGCTTCTGTTAGATGAGGAAGTCGATCATGGCATACAGGATGACATACCAAGATCGGAGATGCCATTCCAGAGAAACCTCCGAAATAGAAGGCAAGGAATTTGAGGATGTCAGGAACATTCCATATAGACAGGACTATGCAAGAGAAGAGCACAAATGACTACGAGTAATCAGCGCTGATCGTCGTGTCAATGTTGATAAGATGGATTCGTACCGCCTGGAAAGACCAAAGGCCCCTCAAACTCAAACAACCTGCTAACGTAGTTCCTAGCCAAGAAGACAATGCCCGCAGAAGGTCGATGAAAGTCGGCAAAATATTCACCAATTCAACCGAGTATCCAGCAGCCTTTAGCCACAAAGCCATGTAGCCTGTCCAGTAGTGCGCTTGGCACAAGAAGCTGTAATGTGTCAGAGAAACAGTCGGTCCGAAGGAGGTTCCGGGGCACGAACATGTAACAAGGAACGCAAATCCACCACATTGGTCTGGAGAGCGTATACTTGAACGTCTTCCATGTAATGCCCTCCTGCTCGACTGTTGGCATCCGCTTGACGGCCAGGGCATGCTCCTCCGCGGAGAAATACCATCTCTTGGGTGAAGTGGGAAGACCAGGCCAAAACGCAAAACCCAAGAAGGATATGGGTAGGGTGATAATACCCTGAACAATGAAGAGCCATCGCCAACCTGCACGCCCGAAAACGCCGTTGAGGTTTCGATACGCCGCGGCCTGCAAGTAGCCGGAGAACATGGAGCCTAGAGAGTTCCCCATGAACCATACTCCAGCTCGCTTGAAGAGCTCTTCGTTCTTGAACCAACTGCCCACTACTTTTGGTCAGTACTTCGGCGAGGAGACATTGGGTTTCAACAAGCATCCTTACGAATTAGATGAGTGCCACCGAACGATGAAGCTTCGAGGAACCCTGTAATAGCGCGAAGGATGTACAGATGCCAGCTGTGCTTGATAGTGGACTGAGAAAAAGCGATCACTGCCCAGATGATCTGCAGGGAAGGTAACAAGAAAGGTGCACTGCATAATCTCGATCAGCAACTTGCTAAATCGCCTGAAAAAGCATCTAATTTTTAGACTTACATCTTTGCCTTCGTCTGTAGAGTCATGAGCGGGATTTGGCCAATGACGTATGCGGTGTTGTCTGAAAAAGTCAGTTGAGCATGTAACATGAGTGTCTGAACATTTGCTTACAAGCGACGACATAGTAGTTCAACTCGTTGCCGTGAGAATCAAGATCCTCACGCATGCCTGATACATATGCGTTGGTGACATTTTGCTGCCCAAGGAACTACTGCCGGTCAGCTCATAACTCTGGGAGCTGTGAGTAAAAGATTCCCTTACTCTGCAAAAGACTAAGAGTAGTAAAGGTAACAATTAGTTTGGTTTGCCTTCGATCAAATGAAGAGACCTTGACTTACAAGACAAACTTCCAAAGACCAGAATCGCAAGATCGAGTTTTCGCAAAAGCTTTCGCTCTTCTGCAGGATAGTGTGAGGCTGTTCAATGACCGTGAGTGACTTCCTTGTGAAAGATAAACGGTCGAATACTTACGGTACCAGTCAAATACTGACAATATCACCGCCCCTATCTTGTTGCCCTTCACTTTTTGACCGAAAGACCCCATCTTCAGCTGGTTCTGCCGGATTTCCGTCTGCGATGCACGTGCAAGAGTCAGAATCGGCACTGCGCTGTCGGCAGTGGTTTACATATAATGTCACCGGAGCAAGGAGGATTCCTCGTCCCCCTGTCTACGTCCCTTTCGCCTTCTTGGTCTTATGTCGAGCCTTCACTTAATGCTTGCCACCCCCAAGACGTGCTTCTGCTATGAACACCCAACCACCGCGGCGTCTTGTCTGCGATAAGCTCAACTCCCAGTCTCTCATGCAACATAACACCCGCCGAGACCCGACTACGTACATCGCACAAGAGCCTCGCCCACTATTCGCCATAGTGGCAGGAATGACGAGTGTCCATGCTTACCGGGGAAAGATGCGGGATAGCGGGTAAAGTACCTTAAACAAGGACCAATAATCTCCGATGCGGCAACGAGATCGTGAGTCTGGACAAACCCTCACCCACCACTTCCGCCGAACTCGGTGGTTTGCCGAACGTCCAAGACCGGAGAAATACTACCGGGTGGGATACCTAGACTGACTTGAACCCGTTTCCTGCGGCGCAGACGTCGGTTTGGCGGCGGGAAAAGCCCGACGACGTGTGACGGGGGTGGAGATTGCGCCATCCGTTATCAGATGATGACATGCGGCGATCTCGCATCTCCAAGTGCCTCGACCAAGTAGGTTTATTGTGTTGCTTGGTAAGTGCCGCGGGGTAAAATGCGAGTGTGACACCATGGAGAAAGATGAAACCAAATCAACTTGCTATTATTGGTCTCTTGATGGTTGAGGATTTGGTGGGGGTTAAGTCCTGCGGAGACGTCGCCGTGGCGTGTTGGCTCGACTAATACAGGCAGCGAGATCCGGCGTGAAGCCGTCCGTATTCGCAGTCAAGGTTCATAGTTAAAATGGCGAGCTTGGAACCCGGCCTCTGGATGTATTGGAGAAAACCTAGACCAACCAGCCTCTGAAGAAAAGATACCCCGCCTCACCGCCCAAAATGCCGTCTGCTGTGTCCGAATTGTACCAATACACCCACGTCCCAGAGACGGAGGAGAACCTTGATTGGGCTGACCGTAAGTCTTGGCTCACCATGCTTTCACGCAAGACTGTGCAGGACTTCCAAGCTGACAGGCACGCGAAGTTCCCACCATTGACCTTGCAAAGTATGGGACACCAGAGGGCAACAAGGAACTTGCCGAGACCTTGATCGAGGCCATTCGGACCAAGGGATTCTTCTATGTGATCAACTATGGCATCTCGCAAGAGGCGGTCGACGCACAATTTGCTCTTGGCCAGAAATTTTACGAGCTACCGTTGGACGAGAAACTCAAGTATGAGCCGGATTTGGATTCTGGAGACTACAATGGGTACCGTCCCGCTGGTAGGCGGTTTTTGAGCGGTGGCCTCAAGGATAAGACCGAAGTATGGAACATGGCCAGTGAGTGTTTCTTCAATTTGCTTCGAATCGAGGAAGCATTGCTGACAGATGCAATCCAGCTCGCGCTGGACACATCACACAACCTTTGCCCAAGCTTTTGGAGGATCGCAAGGAAGAGATTGAGGGATTCGCAAAGGTACTATACTTTTGATCGTACGTAGGATAACGTGATTAACGCCAGACTTAGAACCTCCATGATAAGGTGCTGGATCCCCTGAACCACCTCATCGCTCTGGCTTTGGAGCTGCCCGAGGACTTCTTTACACGCGTACACAAGTGGGAGACTCACGATGAGTCTCACCTGCGCTATATGAAGTATTCCAAGTTCACTCCGGAAGAGATCAAGCAACTCGATGATGGCCTATGGTCCCGTGGCCACACGGATCTGGGGACGATCACCCTGCTTTTTCGTCAACCCGTTGCCGCCCTGCAAATCAGGGATCATGAGACCGGCGACTGGAAATGGGCTAAGCCGCTTGATGGCAGTCTTACTGTCAACACTTGCGATGCCCTGAGCTTCTTGACGGGTGGTTACGTCAAGTCCACGGTTCACCGAGTGAGTGAAACTTCATCCCTACAATATGGCTTACACTCTACGGTGGTCTAATCCGGAAACCAGGTATCTGTGCCGCCTAAGGACCAGCGCCATGTCGACCGCCTGGGTTTGTTGTACTTTGCGCGTCCTCAGAACGACCTCGTACTGAAGACGATTGACTCGCCAGTGTTGAAGCGCGAAGGCTTTACTCAGAATGAGTTCGAGGCTGGCGGCCATCCGGTTCCGACTATGGGAGAATTTACTACCCTCAAGCAGACTTGGCAACAAAGGAAGGGGGTCAGCTACCAGAACTCAGAAGGACAGGAGATCCTCCCGGGATTCAAGGGTCAATACTTCAAGTAGGACGGACGGGCTGTCCTAGCCGCCACATTTCTTGGAAACTCAAGTTTTGAACAAATGTGTCTGAATGGAAAGAGAATTCACGATCGTGGCGGTCACAAAACGGGCGCGCTATGTATTGTGGTGGTCACTACAAAGGTGTTTTTTGGTAAATCATCACCCACTTAATCATGTACTACACAGACTGGTCAAGGAATGCTTGAATTCAATCCACCTAGTTATCTAGATACGATGTCAGCTGCTATTCGAACCTGTCTCATTACCAGTATTGCTCGCAAGTATCTTCGGCTGCCCGTTCGATCCAATCGAAAGAGCGATTCCCCTCTTGCGTAATTCCTTTGACTTTAGTTTCTTTACACCACTAGTAGATGTTCAGTCAGATGGACTGGCAGGGTCCGAAGAAGAACAAAGCAAATATGCTACCGCCGGCTTCTGTGCCACACAAACATGGGCCTTTCACGAGTGAACAATTATGCCCCATCACACCTGCATCAAGTCTCGACGGGGTACACGATTGCGTATCAAGTGTTGTATTAAATTCTCTCAATTTCTTCTCACGAGGGATTCCGTCAGCCTTTCCACTCTAAACCTTGGTCTCATCGCCCAACATCCTCCAATATAACTGAAGTCAACAGCCAAAGTAAAAGCAATACGATCTATTTGACGTCTTCAACAATTCTCAACTCTCATCATGTCTTCTATGCCTTCTTCACCACCTTTCGATTGGAGCTCAGAGATTTCGAGCGGAGAAAACTCCAGATCCCAACCACCTGGAGGTGGCGCCAGCTTGCATGTTGGCGCAGCGGATGTCCCTCTCATTCCTGGTCACGTTACTGGCCACGACCCTGGTCACATCGCTAGTTACATCACTGAGCCCTTTGAAACCTCGAATGAAGACCTCCACCGATTTGATAACGATCTCGACTTTAAAGGCACTCATGGAGGAACGGCTTTGCTATATTTCACCCAGCACAGAAGGCCCCAACTTGGATTTATCAAGAGCCTCATCAAAGACGGGGCCTCGCCCACAAAACCATGCCCCCAGAAGTGCTGCACACCGCTTATCAATGTTATCCAAAGAGCAGACCTCAGTAGAGAAGAAGACAAGAAAGCTATCAGGTATCTCGCTCGCAAAGACATAGCCAACGTCAATTCAGACGAATCTCGATACGGTTCGGCCTTGAACAAGGCATGTTACGACGGCAATTTGGCAATGGTCAGATTCCTTACTCGGGAGTGCGGCGCAAGCCCAAGTTTTTTCTCAGAAGGTTTGTTCGGCAGTGCCTTGCAGGCCGCATGCCTATCCAAGGCGGATAAGGACGTCATATGCGGCATGATACAACATCTCGTACGAGAAGCCAGAGCAGATATCAATGCACAATGCGGATTCTTTGGCACGGCGGTTAACATAGCTTGCCTGCTAAAATCTAACGAACCTTGGTCGCTTATCTTAGACGTGTCTAAAGGTCACTCGAATATCCCTGATCCGATGGGCCGTTTGCCAATTCACTTCGCAGCCGTCTTCTCATACCACAGATACGAGCGCATTTCCCAGCAGCCTCGATTGAGGTTCTTGCCTTTGGATTCCAAAGACAAGACCGGTCGCACTGTTCTACACTGGGCAGCTCAAAGCGGAGATGTTAAGACCGTCAGCGATATTCTCACATCTGACAAAATCAAGCTTGATATCGACCAACCCGATAATGATGGCTGGACGGCGTTATGCTGGGCTGCTCGAGGTCTGACATCAGGAGCAGAACTCGATGAAAAGTCTTCTCAGGGTCAAACAGATATTATTAAATACCTTCTCGAGCGCGGCGCCGATAACACGGTATCGGTTCCGGGAGATGGACTTCAGAGCTGGACTCCGTTGCAAATCGCTATTTTCCACAACAGTGGAGAAAATGTTATTGGACCTTTAGCCAGATCGGCGTCAGCGAAGGAAACATCAAAATTATTCACGGAATCATCTTCTCTACGGACGGGCCATGTACACAACAAACCAGCTTGCATTTGTTGTCGATCGGTATGTTGTTTCCTGAGTCTTGCACTATGAGCTGTCTAACCTGGATGCCGAATTGGATTCCTTACTAATGCCTTACATCACATAGCCCATCATCGGCACAGCATGGTCCTGTCAGGTTTGTATGGACTTCAAGCTTTGTTTCAAATGTTATTTCAGTCGCGAAAAAATTCATCCTGGACCGCATCATGATTTCAAGAAGAGCGATTCTGTGTTCGGCAAAGACCTCAAGAAGGAAGTCTTGAAGACATGGATGAAGTGATGAAGCCATTTCAACTCACACCTATAAGCGACAAAGATGAGTCTTGATCTCTTGGAGTGACAGATAGAGAACAAGACCATTGTCAAGTAGCAGAACTTAGAGATACTAGAACTTACTCATGAGATTCTTGCTTCGCAAAGTCTGAGCCAAAACTTTAATTGCCATGGACTGAATGAATAAGACTTAGATATAATGACGGGGGAGGCTGGAGCCCCCGGACGGATAGCGGCCTGGTTATATGCCTTGCTCTGAGGGAAGGTCTTGCCAGGGGATGAGAGATGGCAAGGCCTTGGCAAGCAAACCTGAACCCCTGTCCCGAAATAGAGAGACGTAGTAATTCAATCACCTACGGTACTATGTACAGAACCCTTCCAGCATCAGCCGCACGTCTTCGGAGCAGCCAATGAGTATCCGGGTTAGCTCGTCTATCTCTAGCGTCCAAAAAGTCCAACGTTCCCCCCCTCATCTCCACCAAAACACCAAGCTTTCGTCAAAAATGACTCGAAAGCGCAACGCTAAGGATGGACTTAGTCGGCTATCCTTTCCTCTTCTCAAACTCGCGGGGACTCTAGGTGAATTTAGAAAATTGACGATTCGTCCGAGCCCCGGGCCCTATGCTGACATTGTCAATCACCGAGACACTCCTCTAGTCGTAGTGATTACTCATGACTTATAGAATTGTCTTGGCACGTAAGCTTTCGGCGTTGACTATCCTCATCTGGCAAAGTATGAACACGGTGATATGGGAAATTTATTGCAATAGTGTTCGTCATTCATTAACAGGTTATCTAAATCTAAAAGGTATCGCGCACCGAAATCCCAAACGAAACGCCAAAGGTATCCAACGAAAAGATCAACAGCCAATTTTCCCTGTCAAACACTTCAGCGCGCTACCTGGCCGCCAAGACCGCTCTTGCAAATGACCGTTCCAGTTGTGGGCTGCTTGATCTTGTTACTATTGAAGTTCCAGAGACCTTTGCCACCGGAGGTCATGGCGAGGCCGGTGGTAGTCCCGTCCTTGTTGGTGTAGCTCAGCTTCATCGCGACCGCGGTATCGTCGGTGCTGTTGGACTGGCAGCCGACGGTGAGCGTGCCGCTTTGCGATGAGACCCAATTGTAGGTGGGCATCGTCACGACATCCTTGTACTTGACGGCCGCCGCCGAGCTGCTGGCAGCGGTGACAGGGGTGGTGCTTGTGCCGGTACCAGTACCTGTTCCAGTGCCAGTGCCAGTGGTAGGGGTGGTAGCGGGAGGACACTTGGAGTTGTCGTACAGGGTAGCACCAGTCTGAGGGAAGGGGTTCAGTGGGCCCCAGAGGTTGCCCTCGGCATCACGACCCAGCCCCTTAGTCAAGAAGGCGTAGCTGCGGAAGTCATGCGGGCTGGGAGGGCGACCGGGGACGGAGTCTTCGGGCTGGATCCATTCCGAGACAGGCATGACATATTGGCCGGCCATAACACCGTTCTTGGTCTTCACGGTGCCGGTGCCGGCGACGACGCGGTACTCGCGGGCGTAGTTGTCGTTTTGGGTCGCCTTGATGCGGTACTCAAACTTGTTGCGGACCTCGGTGCTGGGCACGCTCACACCCGCGATCTCACGATCGACGGCCTCGCCAGTGCACGGGTCGTACTCAATGGCGTAGATCTTGATGGGGTTGACATTTGCGGCAGAGTCAGATGTATAGCCGACGAACTGTGTTGTGTTAGCTACACGGGCATTCCATGATGCGGAAACAGCGGCATGGTAACTGACTCTGGTCTGTGCGATTTCCTGGTTGACTGTGTCGGCGGTCCAAACACCAATGTTGGCATCCTCCATGCGGATGTACGTCGGAGCGCCCGAGGTGGTAATCTGGACGTTGCTCACGACAAGGTTGTAGACGATGATCTCGCTACCGGACTGAACACCAGAGTACTCAACGAAATCGCCAGCTACAATAGGAGCCATGACCAGGGCATCAGGCGCTTTGCTGAAAAAGAATTGTTAGAAAGTTTCGGACAAAAGTGAGCTTCGAGACTTACAAAAGTCCTTGTTTGACGCCAGGGGTAACATCTGGTCTGTTGGACTGAGGGCAGAGAGCATCGGTGGCGCTACGCGGAACGCACATGGGAAAGCCAGAGAAAGAGCTGATGCTTGGATTGGCGTCGTCTGCAGTGAAGAAAGGCTGGGAAGTGTATCCGACGGAGTAGATAGCGTTAGGGTCGTTGATGCGGATGGTGCTTCCGTCCGTCAACTTGATCCGGCCATCAGTGTTCACGCTATCAACGAAACCAGAGGCACCATTCAGAAGCGATTGGGCGATTGAGACCTGAGCAGCAATGGGAACCCCGTTGACGACATTGCCTGTGACCTCGCAGTTGTAACCAGTGTAGCCGCCACTGCTGCCCACAAATTCCTTGAAAGGGATGAAGGCCGCTGGGAATGTGACTTGAAGATTCTTTGGCACAGTAATGGCGTGGCCATTGCACCTGAAGGTGCCGCCGGTGTTGAATTCTGTTGTGCTGGCAGAAGCACTGCAGTTTCCATGTCAGTCTGAAGTTCACCAAATACTGTCATATGACTGGAGGGACGTATGCTTACCCTTCGAACGCTCCGTTAATGTCGAAGGGATAGTCTGCAACCTGTGCTTGTACAGATGTGAAAGAGACCGAAGCACTCAAGGCCGCGTAGAAGATCGACTTTGCCGAATACATGATGAAGATGTGTCTGAGTCGGCTAGACCAGTTTGCCAGATATCAGACTGTGAGAGATGAGAGTGGTGGATAACTTCATTCTGATCGAGATATCGCGATGAAGCCCGGCACTTATGAACTATTTCTGAAAAGTCGGCCGAGATCGTGTCTCCCCGCAGTATTCTCCATACTCTCAAGACCCGAGATAGATTCGCGGGGACCGTGAGGCTTGGCAGCTAAAACACGAAAGGTCTAGAACGTGGCTTCGTACCGAACTAGCACGCGAGTGGTGACTCTTTTGAAAACCCCATGAGGCTAGACGAGCTGATCCGAAACGAGAGGATAAATCCAGAATAGACGGATGGTGCGGAAGCCACTTGTGCATGTGGCAATGCACATACATGCACGAGCTATGATGAATATGCAGTATGCAAGAAAGACTAGGATCGCGAACCCCGACGAGGCCGGCGAGGCCACGATTCTGCAGACTGGCCTGGCCGTATGCCGGTCCATGCACGAGGAACTAGAGATACGACTTCAGGTCAGTAGTCCTATGCAGATCTCCACAAATCTTACACCGAGTTGTGCGGAGATGAGGATTCCGGTTGGATGGTCATGATTTCTTGGCCGGACGGCTGGATAGCTGGTAGATCACAGGATGGGGAGATGAGGGTCTGCAGAAGCTGAGGCTGCCACTCGACAGGGAAACGCCACGAGAAAACCGTCTACCGCCACCAGACAGTTTTTCCTTCGACGGCGAATAATAACTGTGACAACCTTCAGCCAGTTAAGGGTCTTGGCATGGGAGGTTGGTGGGCAGCCGTTCAACAGTAAGGTCCAAACGACAAAGACTCAGTAAAGAAGTCGAGAGCGCGTCGCGTGCGTATCCTTTGACAATCATCCGAACAGGCTTTTTTCGTCGTATACGGTACGCAACGTCTGGCGTGAAACAAGAAACGTTGGGGGCTTCGAGACATGGTCATCGGCTTGGGCTTGAGGATGCGGCTTCGAAGAGGACAAGGACAAGGACAAGGAACCGCTCGTGTGGCCTCTTTGTTCACGACCCGGCAGTCTGGGTAGCTGGAGTCCTGATCCCACGACTGCCGGGTGGATGATTCGCTGGCAAGTCGATAGGGTGTGGCAGCCTGGGGTATACGAGCACAAAGCGCCGAAGGACACGGCCAGAGAATGTGGTGTAGTTAAGTTTACTCGGAGGTTTTCGACGTTTAGCGGCGGCGATGGGAAACGGAGGTGGACAACGAGCGCCTGACTAAGGTGGACCCTGAAGCCCCGATCACGAGAGCTTGGCCAATCAAACTCGAGATAATTAAGCTTCATCTTGGTCCGGGCTGAAGCGCTAATAAGGTTTAGCGACGGTAGCGGCTTGGCACTAAATTATGGGGCTCCAGGAACCGAAAACTTGGGGAAGGTGTCGCCCGGGTTTACTGACTGCTGCCTTTCTTTCGACTTTCCCACCCACCCAGCCTTCTTCCCTCCTCCTCCGAGTGCCTTTCTTTCTCACCTCATCGCCAATTCCGGCGAATTCAACGCTTTGTCCCACCTCTCATCTTTTCCATTTCCGGCCGAAACATGGACACTGCCTCCACGTATCCTCCAGTTTACCCCTGAGATCAGACTACTAGACCTTCAAAGTCCAGACGATGTGCATTGTCCGAACTTCAACGATCCATCCGATATCGATGCGAAGCTTCTTCTCTGCGCAGAAGTCGGACGAAAAGCTCGCCGAGAAGACATGTCGTCGAATCATGGCCGCATCATCGAAGGAATAAGCATTCTGCAGCATCCATCAGCTGCGTCAATGTGGCGTACGATAGTCTTGTCAAGTTGTCGGCCTGGCCACGCTCTCCAGTCCCAGTAACAGCGCACCCTCCGGCTTCCACACCGCATCACGTGCCACAAGACTGCGTCTGGCTCTCTCAACCAGCCTTCGAAAACCTCTTGTTGAGGTCGGCTGCTGACACCGTATGCTAAGCATTGTCAGCCTAATGACACCAACGAGAAAGTTCTGCCTGTCATAGATGACATGAGGTTGGCATGAACCAGGGTGTACCCCTCCATCATCGGATGGGAAGGATGCCCAGTCGGGAACCGATCAGAGCCGGCTCAAGCGTCGATAAAGACCGACTTTAGGCCTGTGTGTGTGTGGAGGCCCGCAGCGTTCGTTCGCACAGAATGCCTGCTTCGAGCTGTTCAGCTCTCATGTTCTTGCAGCTGGACCAGATACGATGCACACTTCCACAACTCCGAAGCCATTGGTCCGGGGCAGCATCCCTGCTCCCGTGCTCTGGGGAACGCAGAGTCCGATTTGTCAATGATCCCATCCACCTCCAACTCGACAGACTACCGACCCAGTACCCTGGAACCTCTTGCATATCAGCTCCGAGTCGCTTCTTCCTCTACTGTCCATTGAATACACATCAGCTCTTAGGCATCCTGCGCCAACCGGTACTGGCGCTCGAGCCGGTACCGTGATCCCAGAATAGCCTCGCTGGGCCATTTTTGGTGCTCGCTCAGTGGCTCGTTTCAACTGAGGAGGCTCGCGCTATTGATATCTTGCATTGTCGAAGGTTCTGGGGCTGAAATTGCCACACCAGATTCAAGAACAAGGGATCTAGACTGACTGAACAGCCGCACTAGCTCTATCTTTATGGCCTCGACACCTGGTGTCAACTCCCAGCCTTCTCATGCCGTCTTGACCAGCGTCAGGTAAACCTCCCGCGCCGGCTGACAAACGCTTTTCTTACATTTTCATGCATCAAATGGTGCGCTACGCGAGAGTGGCGCTCGTCTTGACGGCCTACCCACTGACCCAACCACAAAAAGCAATCCGACGTTGAGGACTTGGATCTGGATGGCCGTAGCTGCCGCCCGTTGACTTCTTTATCCGTATCTTCGATCCACGAGTTTGCAGATGGGGTCACCCTCGAGGAACCAAACGGATCGTACGTACTAGAGACTAGCTCGACCATCCCGTGGCTGCTGCTTCTGCTGAACCAAGATCCTGGGTTGCCGATGGCCTGGACCCCCCTCGGCATACTCGGACAAGAGTGTTGCATCTACCGCGTGTTTCTAGACTGGCCTTCTTTCTTCACCGTCCAGACATCTGCCCTTGGAGTGTATGCATGGACAACGACTTGCCCCACTGACGCCGAACGATGCGATCCATGTTGAAGGACCGTAAGTCGGCCATTGAGCTTTACAGTACGCCCTCGTCAGCCCACTCATCCCAAGGATATTGCTCGCCTTAGAGAGCAGCTCAGACTAGCGATGCTCTTGCTCCAAAGGGCTAGCCGATAACCTCTGTGCGGGAAACATTTCGCTCGAGGTCAACCCTTCACCGGCTCACGCCATTGCTAAGGCTGTCGTTGTGGCTTTCTACCTGGGGGCCGGCGTGGGTCTCGTTAGATTGGACTGGATCGCCGTAACTCGGTCCATGGTCTCGCCGCCTCGACCACCCAGATTTTTGATCAAGATGAAAGATGAAAGTTGATAAATACTGGAGTTCTGTCCCTACGAACGGAAATCTTCTCCATCGCCTCTATCTCCTTCCAAGCATTTGACAGTTACAAAGGCGTCGCCACCCGTCTTGGCCAGCACTTGTCACTTGCACTGTTTCTCTTGGCTCATTTCCCTGCATATCATCTTCCATCTCCGCCATGGTCTCTCTCACTCTTCGCCAGTCTCTGGCCATCGTCTTGGCTCTTGCTTCTGATACCCTCGCCAAGGACTGGGACAGTCCCGCATACACATGGCTCTACGAGTTTCCTCTACCAATTCCCCCTCCTAAGGAGGAACGATAGTAAGCCTCATCCGCAGCTTATACCGTTCGTTGATGAAGAGCTCTCGTGGCTAACTTTCAGCAGCCCCAACCAGGCGATCATCAATCCAGTGACCGGAAAGAAGATCAGGTACTATGAGGTTGAGGTCAAGGAGTTCACCGCTCAAGTTTACCCCAACCTCAAGCCTGCAAACTTGGTCGGATATGATGGCATAGCGCCTGGACCAACGTTCCTCATGGAGCGTGGCGAAGAGGCAGTCGTTCGCTTCATCAACCACGCCAAGATGGCCAGCTCAGTTCATCTTCACGGCTCTCCTTCGGTAAGGCCTAGAACCATCCACCTTTGAAATACTATCATCTAACCTTTTTTGCTCAGCGCACACCTTGGGATGGTTGGGCTGAAGATGTCTTCAACCCTGGCCAGTACAAAGACTACTACTATCCCAATAACCAGAACGCCCGCACTCTCTGGTACCACGACCACGCCATCGACCACACTGCCGAGAATGCCTACTTTGGCCAGGCTGGCGCATACATCCTCCACGATTCTGCTGAAGACTCTCTTGGCCTCCCCAGCGGTTACGGCGTCTACGACATTCCTCTGATTCTCTCTGCGAAACAGTACAATTCCGATGGTACTCTGTACTCGCCTGCCAACGAACAGACTAGCTTATACGGCGATGTTATCCATGTCAACGGACAGCCTTGGCCGTATCTGAAGGTCGAACCCCGCAAGTACCGTTTCCGTCTTCTCGATGCCGCAATTTCCCGTACATTTTTCCTCTACCTCGAAGATCTCAAGGCCAACAGAGTCGAATTCGAAGTCATCTCCTCCGATGCCGGCCTCTTGACGGGACCCCAGAAGGTCAAGGATCTCTACATCTCCATGGCCGAGCGCTACGAGATTGTCATTGACTTCTCCAAGTATAAGGGCGAGAATGTCACCATGCGCAACACCAGAGGCTTCGCCGCGGATGTGGACTATCTGCACACCGATAAGGTTATGCGCTTTGTAGTCAGCGACGAATCGGTCAATGACAAGTCCGAAGTCCCCTCCTCCCTCCGGGCCGTGCCGTTCCCCAAGGACAAGACCGGCGTTGATCAGCACTTCCTGTTCCACCGCACCGGCAGCGACTGGCGTATCAACGGTGTCATCTTTGCTGATGTGAACAACCGCGTCCTTGCCAAGCCTAAACGGGGTACTGTTGAGGTTTGGGAGCTCGAGAACAGCTCCGGCGGCTGGAGCCACCCAATCCACATCCACCTCGTCGATTTCCGCGTCATCAAGCGCGTCAACGGCCGTAGCAACACGGTTTTCCCGTACGAGTCTCAGGGTCTCAAGGATGTCGTCTGGGTTGGACCTGGTGAGACTGTGACCGTCGAGGCTCACTACGCCCCCTGGCCCGGTGTGTACATGTTCCACTGCCACAACCTCATCCACGAGGACCATGAGATGATGGCTGCTTTCAACGTCACCAAGCTCGAGGACCTTGGCTACGACGAGGAAGCCTTCGCCGACCCCATGCAGTTGGAGTGGCGCTCCAAGAATGAAAACTCTGCTGCATCTAGCTGGGACGCGATCAAATCCCGGGTCGAGTACATGGCCAAGCTCCAGCCCTACAATAACGAGCAAGAGGTCGAGAGCCGTCTGGACGCTTACTGGGCCACCAAGACCAATGCGCCGTCCCCAAGCTCGACCCCCAGCTCGACGCCCTCGACTCTGGTCGTGAGCACCACCACGAGCCCCGTGGTCACTTCTCCCGCTACTACTCCTGCCAGCTCGACCATCACCTCCAAGGCCACGACCACCAGCAAGTCTGATGACGATGATAAGAAGAAGAAGACTTCGTCGACTAGCACCAGCACCACCTCGTCCAAGAAGAAGCGTGGCATGCGCTTCCGCGGGGTGGACATGGAAATGCCCAAGCGCACTGCCGCGCCCCAGGCATGAGAATGATTAAGTAATTATCACGCACGACGGATCTTGAGGATTTCATTTGCACATCTCTCCGCTTTACGACTTAATGACACAACCCACGCTCCTTATAGACCATTAGATATCCTGTCCTTGAGCACATCTAGACATATTCTTTCCCACTACATAGTACGGGCGGCGGGAAAACGGACAGCCCTCACAGTATTTGTAATGTTGTTTACTTTCGATTTAATGCAACGAGAAAAACTTGACGCGCAGTTTTACCTGTTGAGTGCAAGTGTGGGATTATTACGCATCGAAAGTGACACGGTCTGGTTACTAATGCTGTCCGAAAATATCAAGATGATGAGAACCACTGGTGCAAGCGCGCGCCCAAAGAAAACTTACTTGGCCAGTCCAGGCCGGTCATGTCCGGCGCAACCTTACAGCGTACTGTGAACAACTACCCATCTGAGATGTGAATAAAGAATCTCCTCTCATGCGACCCCAAGGACTTGGCCAGATAGACCTGCGTTGAGGTGAGCAATGGGAACCGTCGCGCTTTCTCTTCGTAAAAGAGAAGACGCTCAATCGAAAAGTCGATTTTAAAGAGTCGAGAAAAAA